CCATAAACTCATAGGAGTTTCCACCAATCAAGTTGATAAGGGTAACGAAATCGGCATTGGCCATATCTTTATCACTTACTACATCTGAAACGATTTTGCGCAAGTTTGTCGATGGGAAAACAACCTCAATATCCAAATAATCATCCTCGATAGTTAGGTGGATCAAATGAACTGTACATTCAGCACACCATGATGTCTTCACCTCGCCGACACGTCCGGAGATGAGGTAAGCAGTGCCCTGGTGTTTAAAACAAGAAAAGGAATTTCAAAAAAAAAAAACAAGCATTAACAAACACAATAATTGCAAACGAGATCGAAAGGATGAATGACAAAAAAGTTAATTTCAAATTTTCAATAACCTCATCGTCACCATTCTCTTGCAACAATGTAAGATCGATTGAATCCGACAAAATAGACATATGTACTGCTTCCTCATACTTCAGCTTTGCAACGAAACCAGGCTCAACCAGAAAGTCGCTATAAAAAAAACCGTTAGACGTTAGTAATGGCTGACAATAGGAAAAGGAAGCGGAGTAGACTTTCGTAACGATTAGTTGGTAAACAATACTTACGGGTACCATTGCGATATATCATCCATTGTCAGAAAATTACAGCACGGAAACCCTACTCAATTTCTGTTCTTGCACGTACTGTGGATGTTCAATAGGAGTATAAGAACACATTATGATCAACTATTCTAATAGAACGTACCAAATAGTTAACAATCAATTAAAGAAAAGTACCTGCGGCGGTGGAAACGTGGCCGGCGACACCGCGTGGTTAGTCGAGCAGATCGGGAACGAGTTAGCGGCAGAGGTGGCAAGCGACGATGGTGGCCCGCTCTTCTTCCCACAACCGACGTGGTTAGTCCGGGCGACTTTCCTCCGCTCTTCTTCCCACAACCGCTACAGCGAATCAGCGGCGGAGGTGGCAGGCGACGATGGTGGCCCGGAGGAGGAGACCGCTACTGAGCGACCAGCGGTTGCTTGACAGGCGGAGGCGGAGGGAGGATGAGGGCGGTTGAGTATGTGTCTGATCAGTTTGAAGGAAAACCGAAAAGGCAGCGCATGGGGAGGGGAGAAAAAGCAGAAGATAAATCGTTTGCTAGATTTGGTAGGTAAGTAGTCTTCCAATTTTCAACTTTGCCATTATTGTTCTCTGTTTATTTTATTTTTTACAATTGATTATTGTTAAAGAGACAAAGGGAGGGCAGGGGCAGCCGCCGATCTGCTGGACTAAGCCCTATTGGGCCTGGTACAAAAGGCCCGCTTAGGTTAGTTTTGTGTTTTAATTTTACAAGAACTCATTTTATAATTATAAATAAAAAAGTGTTTGTATATTGAATCAAAATCCTTGTACAGCATGAATGGTGAAGAATGCCCTTGGTAACCACCAGGACGCTGGTTCGACCCTCATACCATTATAATTTTTTTTTTCAGCTACACCTATAGAACGACGCCGTTCTCCAGGCCACTTTCGATTCAGAGACGAGCACAAAACGATGCCGTTTTTTCATGTATCGTCGTCTTCCCTAGCCCCCCAAATTCCCAATTATCCCGTTGCCGCCGTCACCACCGTAATCCGACGGCCGTCTCTCTTCATCGTCCAAACTTTCTCACTATTCTGGACTCCGACCAAGAGAATTCCCTTTCATGTATCATCGTCTTCCCTAGCCCCCCAAATTCCCAATTATCAAGTTGCCGCCGTCACCACCGTAATCCGACGGCCGTCTCTCTTCATCGTCCAAACTTTCTCACTCAGTTACGATTCTGGACTCCGACCAAGAGAATTCCCTTGACGAGACCCAATCCCCTCTCTCCATTTCAGCCTTAGTCATTGTTTACAGGACGTAAAGGTCATAGTCTTTCACCGTCAATTGTTTCGGATTCGTTGCGAAAGGGTAGCTGTCATCTGCGACCTTAAAAACAGATGATGATGAGCCAAAGTCGATGTAGATCAGAAGCAGGGACGATGATGATGATGGACTGATGGTAAAATTAGTGGTTTGCAATTGGGGTATCTGGAAAAATCGTTATGACGATGATGGTGGTTTAGGATTGTCGAATTGGGGCAACCTTTTAATGGAACTTTATTTTATCAATTGTATAATTTTTGGGTGTTCATTAAAAGATCTAGAAGAAATAAGGTATCATCTGAGTCCTCACAAAAACGAATAGGTATCATGTGAGAAAATAAAACGCAAATTATTATTGGGGGGCTATATAGCACATATAATTATTTAAGGGGTGCAATTAGTAATTATTATTAGTAATTTTAATATAATTTATAATGACCGTTAGATTAGATCTACGGTAGAGAATCCTGTCGCATAGTATGTGTCTGACGCATACGAGTCGTTTCCATATATATATATATATATATATATATATATATGCTTAACTTTGCACAGGTCCAGACGTCATATGCTTAACAGAACAGATGGACGTCATCCAGAATCAAATAGGAGACCTTTTGGTCACAAAAGACTCTGATACCATGTCAAGAAGATGCCAATAATTTGAGTTGTTAGGAGAGGTTCAATCGTGGAACATATACCATTCACTAACAGGCCACACGGTATCCTTGTGTTGATGTCCTATTAGTCGTCTAGCCGACTTGTATACACGAGAGGCATGTTATGATGGGTGAGGAAACAATGACCAACCCCCACACATTTGTATCATTGTGGGTGGGTTGGGTGAGTGGGTTTTATGATTTTGGTGGGTCAAATTATTTTTAAATAATTTTACAATGATGAGCCATAAAAGTTTGTATAAAAATAATTGAATATCAATAGTACAAATCAAGAATATTGATACCTATTAAACATACTTTATTTCATAATCTAACACTAATAATCTCATTTGCCAACAAAAAAATCTTATTGGTAGTTATCATATTTTATAACAATCGACTTTATGTGGTAAGTTAAGTAAAATTATACAAGGTAATTTTAATTTAATTTGACCAATTACCATTAAGTGTTTGATATAAAAAAAAGATAGTATATTATTGTAAAATGTGCACTAATGACTTAATATATCAAGTAATTTTGCGCGTAATGACCCACCAGTCACTTGCCAAATTTAATTGGTAAAAAAAAAAGACCCATATAACCACTCACCACATGCATCTATCCAAACATGTAATGGATGAATTATATTCTAGTAGATTAAAGTAAATTTAACAGTTGACCCACCCATTCCCATCCCTACTACGCGTTTGTGGGAGTTTCAGTATTTGAGCTTCTGTCAGAAGTAGGGGTGGCTATACGGTCTGGTCCGGTTAAATTGGACCAAATTGATCTGGTTGCAGTCCGGTCTTTTCGGTAATATAAGAACCAAAGATTGGATTGGATACAGTCCGGTCTTGATTCGGTCCGGTCTTGACCCGGTCCGGTCACAATTTGATCTTGATTTTAGGTGTTGGAGGTCTCTTGTCCGGTCTTTATCCGGGTTTTTTTTTACCTCAAATCTAAACCCGAATATGAGATTGGATTGTTTGCTATCCGGGCCCAGTCCGGTCCTGTTTCGGGTTATACGGTGCGGTTGTGGGTAAAACCAAACAGTCCGGGACCAAATAACCAGCCCTAGTCAGAAGGGCCGCGGTCTTCTTAGCAGTTGGGATGATTAATCTTCGGTGAGACTTCTCCCTAATTGGTAACTACTGAGAAATCCGAAGGATGCAAATTCTAGCTTACCCGCTTCGTGGAACACTAGGGCATCCTGTATATTGGTCCGGCACCTTGTAATAATGAACACATATCGTTGATTACAAATATTATCTGTAGTTCCATAAACAATTCGACTTTACAAATTCCAACTGATATGGCTATGTTTTCGAGAGTTTCAGCCGTTCCCTTGACATTACGTAGCATAATGGGACATGGACAATTAAATGTAATAAATAAAAAAATGAATGCACACTACCGCGCATTGTCCATAAAATCGTACCGTACCGACGGTTTAACCACGAAATATCAGTATTGGAGGCTAAACCGATAGACGGTAGTTAACGGTCTAACGGTTGAACTACGGTTAAACCACGATTTTATCATAAAATATCATATCGCTGACTTTTTCGGTACGATATCCGATACGGTTTCATGGACCATGACTAACGGTAGACGTGTGGAGGGTTAGGGACAGGTTTCTCTAAACCATATCACACTGTCATCTCCAAATACTCGTACCCCTATCCATCTCATATTCATGCAGGGTGAGGCGGTTCTGCAATCTCATATGCATATATACCGGGAGTTTTCAGGTGCTCGTGGGTAGTTCCCTCCGTATACCTAATATTAGGGAGTGGCTATACAATTCGGTTAAATTGGTCCGAATTGATCCGGTCCCGGTCCGGTCTTTTCGAGAATATAAGGACCAAAGATTGGATTGGATACAGTCTATTCTTGGTCCGATTCGGTCTCAATTCGGTCTTGATTTTAGATTGAGCTTGTGAGGATTTGAGTGAGGGTGAATAGGTTAAATTTTGGGTGTTGGGCTCTCTTATCCAGTCTTTATCCAGTTTTCGGTCCGGGCCAAACGGTTTTTTTACCTCAATTCTAGGCTCGAAGATTGGATTGGATTGTTTGCTATCCGGTCCAGGTCCGGTCACGGTCCGGGTTATACGGTCCGGTTTCGAGTAAAACCAAAACGACCGGACCAGATAGCCACCTCTACCTAATATTACTACACCTAGCTATAACTAGAATTAAAAAATGTAGATTTCCAATTATAAGCCGAATTAATGAATCTTTGCAATTATTCTTAATAGAATTCAAAGAATCCAATTCTAAAACATTCATTAAACCATATAAGGTATAAAGTAGAGGAAGCAAATATGAGGTTTTTAAGTACGGAAGAGGGTCCGAATCGAAGACGAAACATCTGGATTAGAAAGTGTTAATGGAAAATTGAAAGAAAAAAAAAACAACATTATGGTTTGGCTAATTCCTTCCATTTTGTGGTATAAATAGCAATCAATCCATAGCCCAACTGCTTATAACCTTTCATCAACCATGGCTAATTCCTTCACACCCTTCTTCTTCCTCCCCTTACTATTCATACTAATGATCACTACCACCACGACGGTACTCGAAAACGTCGTCGTTAAAGGCGATCCGGACCTAACTCTCATCTCGAATCTCTGTGGCGCGGAGCACGACGACGTCGGCTCCCTCAGAAAGGATCAAGCCAGGATGCTCGCCCGCAAGGCCGTCGAATACGCGCGGCCCTACCGCCCGTACTGCGGCGGGACACTGGAGGAGCCCTACATGTACTACACGGTTACATGTTCAGCCTCGACCTCTCCGGCGGACTGCGCCGCTTGTGTTGCCTATGCGGCTAACCAGTTGGTGGAGCAGAATGTGTGCGACGATCAGTGGGGCGCCCAAATCACGTTTGCCAGTTGTTTCCTGAGGTTCGAGACGTATATAATACCAGAGTGTCCGACGCCCTGGTGATATGTCTGAAAGGGAAAACAGTATAGATACGACAATATACGCATAAATTGAAGCCCTTGGCACTATGTTTGTTTACTTTGTTATTGTACTTGTGATTTTAGTTTTCTTTTATATATGTGGGTGGCAATAATATGTTGTGGGATAATTACCTACCGAACATACCGGTTAACATTTGACGAAGCCAAAATTTAGAATGAGAAATACTGGAAATAAGCCTCACATTACAAGAAAACACGATTTTAGCGGCTTAACTTTGCGACACATAACATATTCATTTGCCTCTATATTTGTTGTTACTTGTTAGTTAACATTTGGGTAATGCCTATTTTTATCCATACCTTTTCAGATTCTTTTATATTATCCAAACTTATTAAATGCTATTAATTACCCAAATCTTTCGTAATGCATCAAAATATCAACTATTTTTACATTATCGTTAATGATTTTGTAACTTTTTTTCACAGTTAAAATACGGAAATTTTGGAATGTTGACCTGTAAGTGTCTCTTCCAAGTCAATATCATATTGTTAAATCAATATTACTAACAAAATTGCTAGGTGAAAGTTAACATTTGGCTAATTCTTAGTATTTCGATAGATTTGGATAATATAAAAGAATCTTAAAAAGATTTGGATAAAAAATAGACATCACCCTTAATATTTTTAATGTGGATTGTCCAAGAAGGGTCCCTTGAGATTGATGCCGAAAAAAAACCAAGAGAATCACCCGACCCTCATCAAGTACCCTCTCTCTAAACTTTATTTTGAATCTGAAGCTCTCCCTTCTCTCTAAACTTTGGTTTTTCACTTTTCCCCTTCCATTCAGGGCTGCCGCCGGTTCCCCTGGGTGTCCGGCGGTAGCCCAACCTCTTTTCTTTCCTGTTTTTTTTATTTTCTTGCTTGTCCTGCTGCCTTTCTCCTGCCCTTGTTGGCTTGTTCCAGATCCTTGTGGTCTTTCTCCAAGTGGTTTTTTCCACAGTGTTTTTCTGGTTCGTAGATCTGTTTGGCCTTGCTCCTTGGATCCAAAAATTGCAGCTTGGGGAGCTTCTAAGTTCTAATGGTGGTTTGCTATTGGGGGTCTGCTCCATGTTGGTGTGCTCATCTCTTTTGGTGGGCAGATTTACTGTTCCTCCCTTCCTTTTTCCTTTGGTTTGCTTGATTCCTGTCGGCTGACTGTTGTGGGGGTCTGGTGTCATTTTTGGTGTTGTGGGTTGTGGTTCGCTGGTTCTCTGGAGATGGTGAAGAAGAATCTTCTCTTTCCCGGTTCCTAGTCATCCATGCCTCCGGCTTCCTCGGCCTCTTTCAGCTCAGAGCATCCCGGTTTCAGCCTGCTCACCGCCAAGATTTCTCTTCCATGAGATTCACTATGATGGGTCGTCTTTGAACGATCCCCAGGTGGCGGTTTTTGGCGTTGCAATGTTCAATAGCCATGGGCTTGTCTGGTTTCGGGCGAGTTGAAACCTTGCTTGTGCTGTGCTGATTGTTGTGGAAGCAAGGGGTTCTGGGTTCACTTTGATAGCCTTCTGTTTTGGATTCTTCTGTTGGATTCAATCTTTTCCAGTTCTTTCTGGCTTTTGCTTTGGTTTGGATTGCTCTGACTTTTGAGTTCAATGTTGTTTTGCTTTCATTGTGTTTCTCCCACTCCTTGTAACTGTGATTCTCAATGCAATACAAGTGCTCCTATTGTAAAAAAAAAAAAAAAAAAAAAAAAAAAAAAGATTGATGCCGAAAAATTGAGCAGCCTAGATCGTTCACCAAAGGAAAAGTGCACAACTGAACTGTTGCACAATGCATATCCTGCAACGTGTGTGCTAATAAAGCCGACCGGGTTGAACAGTGTGAATCTGCGAAGAAAATCTGAAAGTTTATGTAGAACACTTATCGAGGAACCTCCAACATCATGGAAGATCAAATTGACCTACTGTTGGACGATTAGGAAGAATTCGTTATGGACTCAGGTGATGATTATATGACCATCCGTATTTCCGTAAGGGTACGAGTAGATCCTTGATCCAAGTTTGGTCTTTTGAGTGACGATGTTCTTTACTTTCGAAGGTAAAGGTCAAATCTCAAGCAACAGATATCACTAGAGAGAAATGCGGATGAAAGACATGTGGACGAAAAGCATTTTTGCTTATTTTTCAGGTCAATTTAGGTTACTACATTCAGTGGAATTGTGTGGATTAAGAGAACAATGGATGTAATTTACGTTGTTGTAAATATATCCTCTACGTAGTACTTATGTAGTTCCAATAATAAATTATTAGATTAGAGAATAGATAAGTGAAAGCTAGAGGTAGTTGATGAAATTCTTTATTTGGATGTTGTAATGATTAGAGTCCTTCCTCTTTATATTAGTTATAACAATGATTATGTGAATGAAGATAAAGTCATGTATATTGTTTTTTACCATTCTCGCCACTTTATGTTTTAACACAGGCTGCTATCCAAAGTGTGCATTCATCTTTCCAATCTATGATCACCCTTGAACCCCCACCTAGACCATCACTACACAGAAGTGCTAGTTGTCTTCTTAATTGTATTGATATTTCGTTAGTATAAGTGTATAAGTACTTCATTAAATTTTGTTGTCCTGATGCGTGATCTGATGAAGGAAAAGAACACAAACAGCCGAAGGGTATCCAGTTAGAAATCCGAAGGATGCAAATTGCAAACTCTAGCTTACCACCCGTTTGGTGGAAAACTAGGGCATCCGGTATATTGGTCCGGCACCTTGTAATCATGAACACATATCGTTGATTACAAATTTCTGTAGCTCTATAAACAATTCAAGTTTACAAATTCGAACAGATATGGCTAGGTTTTCGAGAGTTTCAGCCCTTTCCTTCACATTACTAGTGAGGGGTGGGCAATGGGCGGGTTGTGTGGATTTTGGTCTAAAATTGACCCACCTGCTTACTAGCGGGTTGGAATATATGTGACCCGCAATCTACCCACATACTTATGCGGGCTGGGTTGGTTGGGTGGCGAATGGGTGCGGTTAGGTCGCGGGTTAACCCGCAAAAGCAATTCTCCAACTAGTCATTAAGAAAATTGACCAACATTTATAATAAGTTCATAGCAAATTAGTAAGATTGTATCAATAATTTGTGATTTTGATACAATTAATAATTTATAGTTTGTATTCCAATATTTAATGGATATTAACAATAATTTGCATACCAATATCCATTGTCAATGGATATTGCACAACACAATAATCAATAATAGTAGTCAAAACTAATCTGTATTCTCCACCTTTTGCAGTATATATATGGTCAAACTGTAGTGCGGTTACTGCGGTTAGAAAATATGATGAATATTCGATACTATAAGAAACAACATCGGCAGTCTCATTCGCATGCCGGGAGTTTTCATGTGCTCGTGGGGGGTAGTCCCTCCGTATATCTAATATTACTACACCTAACTGGAATTCCAACATTCAGATTTTCAATTATAACACTGAAAGAAACTAATGAATCTTGAAATCACAAAGATACCGTCCTTCTTAATAGAATTTATAACATCCAATTCTAAAACGTTCTATATCTCAGTTCTTCATCTTTTATTTCGAATTACCCTTAATGTTATTGACGGATTACAACATAGGGCAACATGTTCAACGTCCACCTCTCCGGCGGATTGCGCCGCTTGTGTTGCCTATGCGGCGGACCGGCCAGTTGGTGAATCAGAACGTGTGCGACGATCAATGGGGCGCACAGATCACGTTTGCCGGTTGTTTCCTGAGGTTCGATCATGTCCGCCGCCGCACCCGCGATAAGATGGAAAACTGGTCTGATTCGAATCGTCGGAATTTTATTCTGTGCTATGTGTTTTTGTTTACTTTGGTATTGTACTTTGTGATTTGTGGTTTTCTGTTATTTGGGTAACAATGTCTTGTTGGATCAGGCATTCGTTTTTTTAGTTGCATTGGTTGTGTGTTGTTGATGTAGTATCTCTACTTCCTTCTTTGAATAAAATCAAGTTTTTGCCTTCTATTCTGTTTAACATGCATGTCCGTCGGGGGGAAAACAAAGTGTTACGAAAACAAAAGTGTGTTAATCATCCAGCGTCGGGTTAATTTTCGTGAAGTCCGCACGGATTTATTATTGGGTAGTGGGTACCTTCACAAAACTGCAAAAGGATTATAACTAGAGATCTATTGCAGCGTCATGTGAATGACAACTATTTATAGGGTGTTCGAAAAAGGTGATCATGGTAATTACCAACTAAAATAAGTTTAAATTTCGTTAATTATGGAATACAATATCATAATCAAACCGTCTAAACTAATACAACAACCAAATTAATCAAACTAAAGTTTAATCGGTTTGGTTGATTGGTTAACCATATTAACCAATATAACATCACAATGAACACATAGTTTTAGTTAAATCTTAACATAAATACATGAAACTAATAATTATATATTATCGTCAATAGAAGTATTCACCTAGCAAACATATATGCCAATGGTACGGGTTAGTGAACTATTGTGTTTGTGTGGATTCACTTAGTCTCTAGGCTTGTGCAAACTTCAACTCTGTAACTTGGCCAAGTAATTGTGTGTACGAAATCTCTGCATAACTCTGTTTGAGAGAGCGTGTAAGAAAAAACTCTATAAGATCTATAATTAATTAACCTTTTAACCTCTCGTTCCAATTTTTACTAAAGTAATACGAACGTCCGACTTGGTCAACTCAAAAATCACAAATTCGAATATCTTAAATAGCTCCACACACCTAAAAAGAATATTATAAAATCGAGCCGGTTGCCTCGAGATTCTACGTTGCTATTATTTTTTAATCATAAAAGATTCTACCCTTCCATTCGGCTGCAGAGCATATATATAAAAACCGACCAACAGCTAGCCCTACAAAACGCAACTAATCAAAAACACTTCATCGCCGACCATCATGCCTTCTTTCGTTCCGACAACAATACTCCTCCTCCTCCTCCTCCTCTTTTCAGCGACCACCGTCGTCGTCGTCGTCAGAAGCGGCGGCTACAACGGAGACTACATGTTCGGTTACTGCAGCCCCAACAGATTCGTGTACTCCACTGCCAACTTGATCGAAAAAGATAGAGTCGTGAACGAGGCGATGTCTGGCACGTACGGCGGCCAGGAGAAGCAGGAGAAATGTGCCTTTTCAACATCCGGCGGCGGCGGCGGCTCCTTTTTCTGTGCTTATGCTTTCTGCAGGTCGCTGTCTGGCGACGACTGCCGGGATTGTCTAAACGAAGCCGAATCGCAGTTGGAGAGCAGGTACTGCAGGGATCGGGATGGAGGGCAGCTGCTTCTGATGGATTGCTTCTTGCGCTACGAGACATATCAATTCTGCACCTAGCTAGGGAAGAAAACAAGACATGTGTATGTGTTAGTCTACTTCGTACGTGGTAGGCTATGAATAATGTTGTTGTTCGAAAACCGAAAGAGAAATCGACATAATGCAAGAAAGTAAAGAACGACGCCACAGATTTATATATGTGATTCACCAATACGATGTGACAGAGATAGTCGTTTCACTATAATCGAGGAGATATACATAATACAGAGATTGAGGGAGACCTCGCAGAAGTTACAGTCAATGACAGGAAATCTATCTTCACATACCGATGAACCAACTAGTAGAAGAGTGATATAAGATTCATAATTAACATTCTTTTCAATAACTTGAATTACAATGACCAAATGATTTATGATATGATATTAAAACTGGCTTGATCAAGTGGTCGTCTATTCAAATTTTCAAAACGATATTAATAGTTGATTTAAACACAATGGATGGCAGGCTTGTTCAAACTATACAAACTTCAATCATGTAATTTGGTCAAGTGTTCGTGTTTGAATCTTCACAACTAGTTTGAGAGTATGTGTAAGAAAATGATATAAGATTCATAATTAACCTTCTAATTTCTTGTTCCAATTTGTGCTAGAATATATCGAACAAGGGTTTCATCTAGTAGTATTACAGACTTAAAACAAAGAAAATACAGTTCGTTAAAATTTATATAAAAAAGATTAGAGACATTCTATAAATGATAATAAGATCCTAATATAGCAGGTTATGAAGACTTATTGACCATACAATTACTGAATTGATCCACTCCCAGCCGGGTTGTATGTTGTGGCATGGGCGAAGCCAGAATTATAATTTAAAAAATATTTTTGAGTCTTGATTATCTTTACACCCAAAAACGGTAATGACGTATCCTAAACACGCAAAAAAAAAAAAAAAAAAATCTGAGAGTTCTTCTAAAGACAAATCAAAACTAAAAAGAGATCGAAAGGATGCAAATTCTTACCCGTTTCGAGGAACACAGAGGCACAATATTCGTCCGGCGCCTTTAATAATAATAATAATGAATAGATAACGATTGATTACATTTATATATAGTTTTATACACGATTTAAAATTACAACGACAACCCTTCCCATTGTTAGCATAAAGTGACAATGACATGGATCATCAAATGTAATAACCAAACAAAAAAAGCTGGTTAATTGGTTAGCTAGTGGTAGAAGAGTGATATAATATTTATAATCAATATTTTCTTTCGAGTTATATAGTAACCACATGATTTTGTTAGTGAATGGTATATGATTCACGACTGAATCTCTCCCAACAACTCGAGTTGATCGTGTGTTCGATATTAACGGTTGATCTAAGCACAATGTATATGGTAGGCTATTAGGCTTTGTGCAAACTCCAATCTTCTTGCTTTCAAATCTCCACAACTCGTTTAAGAAAGCGTACAAGAAAACAACATAAGATCTATAATTAACCTTCTAACCTCTCGTTATTTTCAATAATAAAAGATTCCACCCGTCCATTCGGCTGTACACGTACCATATAAAAACCGACCAAACAGCCCGATCGCCTACAAAACGCAACTAATTAATAACCAAAACTTCATCATGGCTTCTTTCGTTCCGACAACAATACTCCTCCTCCTCCTCCTCTTTTCAGCGACCACCGTCGTCGTCGTCGTCGTCAGAAGCAGCGGCTACAACGGAGACTACATGTTCGGTTACTGCAGCCCCTACAGATTCGTGTACTCCACTGCCGACTTGATCGAAAAAGAAAGAGTCGTGTACGAGGCGATGTCTGGCACGTACGGAGGCGGCCACAAGAAGAAGCAGGAGAAATGTGCCTTCTCCCCCTCCGCCGCCGCCGGCGGCGGCGGCTACTCCTTTTTCTGTGCCTATGCTTTCTGCAGATCATCGCTGTCTCAAAACGACTGCCGGGATTGTCTGAACGACGCCGCATGGCAGTTGGAGGTTAGGTACTGCAGTGATCGGGCGGGAGGGCAGCTGCGTCTAATGGACTGTTTCTTGCGCTACGAGACCTACCAATTCTGCACCTAAAACACAAGAAATTGATGGGAGCAAATAGGTTATTTGTGGTCCATTTTATATTTGTCTGCTAAATCTATAAAAGTTAAAAGGCTTAACTATCCCTTTCCAAACAACTCGAGTTATTGGGACCAAATGGTTAGTTCGCTAACATGGTATCAGAGCCTAGAATCGAAAGGTCATGGTTTCGAATCCTCATAACGACCGCCATTTCATGCCAATTCGTTTAGCACAAGGAATGGTATGTCCAACCTGTGCAAACTAAAGCCTCGTGGTTTGGCAGCACAAGGGTTCAACCTGTGCAAACCGTAAAAATCCACAATTCGGCATCGGCTTTCGTTTGAGGGGGCGTATAAAAGGTTAAAAGGCTTAACTATCCATTTCCCAACAGCTCGAGTTATTGGGACCAAGTGGTTAGTTCGCTAACAAAATCATGTGTTCGTGTTACTCTATTTTAATATGTAGTATATATGCTATGGTTAATTTTGAAAATTTACGGTGTAAGAAGAAAGTAAACAACACACAGATTTACGCGATTCACTGATGTGCGTTAGCTACATTCATGAACAGGCGAGAGATTAATTTCACTATATTTTTGGGGAGATGCATATTACATAGATCGAGCTCGCGATATCCCGCGTAATTTTCAATCAGTTGACGACAGATAATCTGTCTACTCTTCAAATCATAGCAACACAGTCAATATATGTATCCGTAGTAGGGATTAATGTTAGTAGTATATGGCGAACAACTAGCTAGGTTAAGGGGTTGTTTGTTTGATGGATTTGGATCTATCAAGGACTTTGTCCAAACTCCAGTGTTTGCTTCATGTATTTTGTGGCAACAAATCAGTGGGCCCCAATGGACTTTAAGGGTCCAAATTCGTGGATCCCACGGACTTGAAAATTCCACCTCTTTAGGTGGGACTTGATCATGGACTTTAAAGTCCAAGATTTATGACCAAACTACCTTTCTTTTAATTTTCGCATCTCATAGCAATGAGGGCAATATAGGTCACTTTCACTTCATGTACACAACCTAATTAACCAAATCCATCATGAAATCAATGAAATGAACAATGGTATTTTATAAATCCATAATGAACCCAAAACCTTCATATATCCATGGTTGCAATCCGCTCCCTCTAAAAGTTCTTATTTACAAATCCACCCTTGCATTTTATATAATAAATTGAAAATCAAACGAACCGCAACTAGTACTCCATAAACAACAACAAAAAAACCATCAATCCTTATAAACCTTCATCGACCACCATGGCCAACTCCTTCCTTCCCTTCTTCATCTTCATCCTCATCGTCCTCGTCGTCATCGTCGTTAAAGGCGAACCAGACCTAACTCACATCTCGGCCTACTGCGGCTCTCGCCACGACGAGAGCCCTCTAAGGAAAGATCAAGCCACGAGGCTCACACAAGGAGCCATCGGAGGCACATACCCCGGTACCGATTTCTGCGGTTTCACCAGCGACAATTCCTACACAATGTATGACAGGTATGCGTGTTCAGCCGCCGTTTCTCAACCGGAGGATTGCACCGATTGCATGAAGTATGCCGCAGACCAGCTGCTGAACCAGCTGTGCAAGGATCAGTACGGCGCCCAGATCACCCTCGGGAGCTGTTCCTTGAGGTACGAGTTCGATCCCATACCGGGATGTTTCTGATCGATCTCCGCCGGCCCCGCCGGCCATGAAGACGGAAAACGATCGATGAAATTGATGGTGATGAAGCTGCTGCTATAAGCTGTTTGATTAGGGCTCTATGTTTGTATACTTGTGATTGGGAAATGAGAGAAGCTATGAAGTTTGATCATGTATGCTTTTAAAATCTTAAAAGGTTACGCTTTTATGTTTCTGGATAAACTAAACGTTTTTACGTAGAGTCGTGTTTTTTCCCATACTGATGTAGTCAACATGCATCGTGTTTTAAAGGTTAAAAGTTTATTGTTTAATGTTTTTTGGATCAGCTTAACGCTTTTACATAGAATCGCGTTTTTTCCCTTAGTAACTTAATTAGTTAAAATCGCGCTTTGAAGGTTAAAAGTTTATACTATTGCTTTTCTTTGTCATCAAAACACTTTTATGTCACGTCGCGTCACAGAAAAGTACTGCAACATTTTTACATTTGACAATTGTCGAATGGTTGCGAAAGATATGACTAGCATGATCAAGTTGCATTTACATAATTTTGAATGCCAAGGGTGATATATGTTTACTTTTCTTTGGGTTAGGTACTTAAGGGATTCGATATCTCCATTTGTGCATGAGCACGTTCTCAGCCGATAGTATTTACCACAGAGGAATTTTATAATGCCGATAACCATCAATGATTTTATTTAGATGTTGAATTTGTACCATAACGATGAATGTACAAATTCAGTTTGTACCATTTTATGATATGGTATAAATTTGTTCCACAACATTAAATGTAGAAATTCCTTTGATCGTAAAGTAACTTGTAAAAAAATATAGGTACAAACCAAAGGTAACATAGCCTAGTGGTTCCACTGGACCAATTGAGCTCTGGATGTTGGAGGTCCATAGTTCGATTCCCAGTGGCGCCACTTGACGTTCCCGACGGCACCCTTGATATCGGAGGCGAAGCCTCCCCCGATGTTGGTAGCAGAAAACTTCGGTTAGTATGCAGGTATCCCCAATGATTTAGTAGGCCCCGCTGTCGCTCAAACGGCATGTGGGGCTGAGTTTCCCTGGGTTATAAAAAAAACAGGTACAAACTAATTGTGCACCATAAAATTAAAAATATAAATTCAATTTTACATTATAACATATTATCTTGTAAACAAAAGCACGCTCACTTATGAGCGTATAACAGTGGAGCTCCTTCAGAAACAAAACTTATACACGACAGAAGTAGACTGTCGAACCAAGCAAATTCCTACTTTGACTGGTAAGGTATTGGAATTTCAGCTTGAATAGATTATAATGTCTTAGTCGTGTTTCGTGGAGTACTAAGGATAACTTGGATGTTTTTTTTTATAATGTTCCTTCTATCGAATCGTAAAAAAATCGTTCGACACCATTACCCCCTCACTACTCGCACCGTGCCAATTTTAATCCCGATATTGGGTTTTTTTCCGGTCAAACGACCGGTACAATATGATTTCTACTTGTTATTTTAGATGGGTCTGAAATATGTATATATCTAATTTATATTCTATCTCTAGTTCAAGAAAGTACTGGTTAAAATCCATATATGGAACTCTTCTAAGAACTCGAGTTATTGAGACCAGTTGATTTATGACATGATATCAAAGACAAAACAGGTTTGATCACGATGTCACGTATTTAAATTCTCACGACCCCCAATATAAAGTGTTGTTTTAGAGCACATGGTATGAGAGAATCTATGCAAACTTCAAACTCATGAATTGGCTTTCGCTAGGAAGCGCATAAAGAAGTGAAAAGATCTTTAAACAAACTTCTTCCACCAACAACTCGAGTTATTGAGATCAATTAATTAATTACAAAAGAAAAAGAAGATGAAGGGGAAAAACCATAGACAGACGACGGTATCCACTAAATTACTAACCCCGTTTAGTATCATTTTGTTGTTGTTGTGGTTGCAGTGGTGTTGTGTAAACAGATGTACAACCACAACAGGAAAAAAACAGAAAACACAAACATGTTTAGTTGATAAATCTGAAAAATCATGAAAGCTGAAAACAAGAAACAAAAACGCGTTTAGTTACTACTATAAGAGGTCGCGGCGGCGGCGAGGCTGTTGAGTAGGGGTGGCCCGGCGGCGGCTGTTGAGCAGGGGAGGGGAGTTCGCGGCTGCGGCTTTTGAGCAGGGAGGGGAGGTCGCGGCGGCTGTGGGTCGGAGGGCGGAGGCGGCCGGTCGGGAGGCGCGGAGGTGGCCGGCGTGGAGTGGGGAGAAGGCGCCGGCGTGTATGGCTGGAGGGGAGAGCGGCGCCTTTGTTTGAGACAAAATGGAGAGGTTGGGGACGGCTGAAGTAAGTAGGGTTTGGGGGTGGTGTTAAAAAAAAAGAAATTTTTTTGCTTCTGTGGGGATTCGAAAACTGGTCTGTTTTAATGAAATCAAGCGCCCAACTAGTAGGAATCCCGTGTGCAACATGTTTAAGAATCAGATCCAAAGCTATAAATTGTTGTTTCTCATATTTGGGCCTTGTTGTGCAACTCTGATTCACAACAAAAAATAAAAACCCAACTAAACATGATTTTTTTTCTTGGTTTTCCAAATTTCTTAAAACACAACAGGAAACAAAAACAAGCAACAATACTAAACGGGTAAGAAAACAAAACAAAGTATACAAAGGACAAAAGTAGGGGTGTCAGATCGGTTTCGGTTTTTCGGGTTAACCCGAAACCGAACCGATATATGCTCTTTCGGTTTGCGGTTTCTCGGTTTCAACCCGCATATGCTGTCAGCGGTTTCGGTTTCAGTGAAACCCGAAAACCGACACCAGCCCGAGAACCCGAATTCAATAAATGTCGTTTTTGGTGAGAATTGAGACGACGCTGCAATCCCGGACCGGGTGAAATCCCTACTTTTCGCCTCAAGTCGCCATTACCTTCAGCAAACGCTCAAACCTAGCATCGCCCGGTGTAACTCCCTCGCCGTCACCGTCCTCGCCGCATCGTTCTCGCCGCCATCATCTGTAACGATTGAGGTCGAAAGCTGGATATTTCCCGGCGAGTTAATTGAACAGACTGTGGAATTGAGCAGAGAATTAGGGAAGAGGAAGAAGAAAGAAGATTATAGAGAAGGAGGAAGAAGAAAGACAGAGATAGGGAAGGAGAAGAAGGAACAGGGAAAAGGGTTCTGCAATTTCTTATTCGATTGATTCTTTTATAGGCCGCCAAATTACAAAAGACAACCCCAACTCTACCTTTAGTACATTTAAGCCCCCATCGTTACATCATCATTCTCGCCGCCAGCGGCCTCATGGGAAACTCAACAGCGGCCGTCGAAACCCATCTCTGCAATTTGGGTTAAGCTAACAACCGAAACCCGCAAGCTGCAATTTCGGGTTCGGTTTCGGGTTGTACATTAACGGGGTTCGGGTTGCCGGGTTTTCTCTGGTTCCGGGTTCGGTTACCCAACCCGAACCGAACCAGCACCCCTAGACAAAAGTAGAATTTTTCCCAACAAATCAACACCGAGAAAACGAAAGGATGCAAAGTTTTTGTATTTGTTAAAACTGATGCAAAGTTCTTATGCCCAACGTGGAATAATGATGAACCGATAATAACAATAATGAAGGGGAAAAACCATAAACAGCCGACGGTATCCACTAAATTACTACGAAAACAAAACCATGTATACAAAAGGCACAAGTGACTACGTGAGGATCTTAATAAAACATGTCACGAAGTGAGAAATCATTTACACTAAACTAAATGAATTATACGTATACTTAGTGAAAATACTATCTAAAATATCATATATAAAAAATAAAACGTCAACATCCAAACCTTTATACTTTTAATCAAACAAATAACATCAACGTTAATTAATCATTCCAGTAGGATCGTTAATTTCCCTGATTTCGACAATTTTCCCCCTGTGGTTTCGACCAGCTCTTCGTAATCGGCAATCTTCTAACCGATTCATATATCCAATACCGATTGAACCAGGTCGTGCCGAAACCAACATACCAGTTATTTGACAACCATTGTAATTAAAAAAAAAACTATAAATAGCACCAATATATCTAGAGCAATACTTGTTACAAACCCTTTTTCCTTCACCATGGCTGATTCCTTCAACCCATTCTTTCTCCTTCCTCTACTACTCGTCATCATCGCCACCACCGCCGTCGTCGTACCCCGAAACGTCGTCGTCGAGGCCGCCCCGGACCTAACCCTGGTCTCGTCCCTCTGCGGCACGTACCGCGATGTCAACGGTTACTGGAAGGACCTAGCCTCGACAGCCGTGCAATATGCCGTCGAACACACACTCCCCGGCGACTCAAATCGTTGCTCGGAGATCAACGGCCATCCACCCATGTACAGTAGGGTTACGTGTTCGGAATCCGTTTCTCCGGCGGATTGCACCGACTGCATCAACTACGCCGGAGACCAGCTGGTGAATCGGAACATCTGCGGCGATCACTACGGCGCCCAGATCACCTTTGTCAGTTGCTCAATGAGGTATGAGATCAATCCGATAGACGAATGTCCCAGCTTTCGTTAATCCGATCATCAGCAAGAAAAAGAAAAAAAACAAAGTGGAAACGAGTTATTAATCGTCGGTACTTAATTAATGTTTAGTCATCTTGTGATGGCAATTTTACTTAATAATAATAATAATAAAGTATTGTTATGTTTGTTTACTTTTTAATCGGACTTGATCTAGTGTGAAGGGAAAAGAAGTACGAAAAGTAATTACTTGTTCTTGTTATATATATGAAGCTCAATACATGTCTGGTTCTGGCATCACAGAAGCACAACGTTTTACGATTAACTGTTGCGTAAGAAATGACTGACATATCATGCGTGATCTTTTACGTAGTTATGAATGTTAATGGAGATGGTCGGTTCTTGGATCGTGACTGCCTTCCTTATGGCTTAACCGGTTCGACGAGCAAGCTTTCCTTTTCTTTTAATCTAATACAAAATTCAGCACGCAACAAACTAATTAATAGGAATTTAGAGGGAATAGAGGGAAACGATCAACCTCTAGCATATATATGTGACATGAACTCGAGCAACTAGCTAGGGGACGATAAGATAATGATCAACTGACCACTTATGTGCCCATGATTCATGAACGTGTCGGAATGAACGTCCAAGGTTGTTGGATTGCACGTGGACATTCTGTGCTCGTTGGATGGAGTCCGTGGCTGTTGATGTGACTTGAATCGGACTTCGCTACAACTAGCTAGGGGACGATACGATACTATAAAATATTTCTCATACTCCTCTGTAATATGTAATCTCCTCGATATAGTGAAACTGGCTCTCTCTCGCCCGTGGACGTAGCTAACACACATCGTGTTAGTGAACCATGTAAATCGTGTGTCTGTGTTTTTCGATTCGCGCTTTCGTATTCTTGCTTTATCGATTCCGGCAATTTCCCGATCCGTAGCAGCGCGTTTATAACTGTGGCAATTTCGTAAATCAACTTCAGTGTATGTTCATCCAACGGCCACAATAATTTTCACATGCATGTGAGCACGTTCTTACAGATGGGTTATTAGGACCATTTTGACGAAATTGATTTTGTATGACCTATGTCAAAGACTAGCTGATGAATCAGCTGTGCGAGGATTATATTAGTACGGCGCCCAGCTCACCGTCGGGGAGTTGTTCGTTGAGGTACGAGATCGAGTCGATACCGGAATGTGCGCCGCCGCCGGCCCAATTGGAGAAAGAAGGACATTAAGCTCGGTTTTGCCTATTTATAGTAAGGGTTTTGGTTCCGCCGAGCCATATCTCTCAAAATCAGCATCCATAAGAAAACTCCGTAGCCTAGTCTCGTTTATATACCGAACGCGCGAGGAATCCACGCGTAAAGTTCCTTATGGTGGAAATTGGTACAGTATTGGTATCCCTACCAAAGTCTCGAATACGAAATAACGTTTTATACTCAATTCCATTAATAAATTCGGTATCAAAATTCCAACTCCTAATATGTTGACGTGACTTGAATCGGACTATATCAACCGTTACGACTAAAAGTCACTCAAAAAAAATAAAAAATAAATAAAAAAAATGGCAGTAATATGCAAAAAAAATTATATAAAAACAAAAGTGGTGCAAACATTCGAACAGTGAAAAGTGGAGACAATGAAATATTCTACTTATTAGTTAGTAAGCCTCTTCGTACAAGCATCCATGATAGAGACGAGAGTATTCGTAGCATTTATATAATTTTACTGTTAAAGATCAAAGACGTGAGTTTGGCCTACGAAAAATTCATTAATATTTTTTAGGGTTCAACATGTATACTGGCTTATATATCTTGGTATTTTACGGTAAGTCAGTATATATCAATTCCAATTCTCGTAATTCCAATTCGTACGTGTATTAAAAAAATAAAATATTTTTGTTACAACGGTAAAAAATTATTATATTTTGCAATTTTTCTGAATATAAAAACACGTCATGTATCCGGTCACTGCATACACGAATCACTCCTAAGAACTCGACTTATTAAAATCAAATAGTTTATAATATTCTTAAAGGAATGACACGAAGGGATAAAGAATAAACAGCCTAGCCGACGGTATCCACTAAATTACTTAGAAAACAAAACTATGTATACAAAAAGACACAAGTAGAATTCTTTCCAACACATCGAAAGGATGCAAAATGCTTACGCGCATCGTGGAATAATGATGAACCGATAATAACAATAATGAACAGTTCAAGTTGACTTCTGTTTTGTAGTTTTATAGATAATTTACGACAAATTAAAGACTGATAGAATCCAGTCAAAGTGAAAAAACAATGCACGACGACGTACGCAACGATTTTACGTGGGTTTTGCCGGCCAGTGTGATCGACTTCACTCCACAACGAAAGACTGTGAAAATCTAAAAAAAAAAAAACTGTAATAATGAAAGACTCTGTAAAAATCTATAAAAAAAACTGTAAAATTCAAGATTATCATTATGTTATGGTACATCTTTACAACTTGAAGTTGTACCATCATATAAAAATACAAATTCAAGTTGTACCGTAAAAGAATTTTTATAAAAAGTATAGGTACAATTTTAAGTTGTACCATAACGTAAATGTACAATTTTAAGTTGTACCATAAAGGCAAAAGCCTATAGCACCAATACTATATAGCATTGTAAAATTTCTCAATAAGTTAAAAAAAACATACATGTAAGTGGAAAACCATTTAGACAAAATGATTAGACATGTATATATAGTCTTAAATATCGCCCTATATAGCATTGTAAAATTTCTCAATAAGTTAAAAAAACATACATGTAAGTGGAAAACCATTTAGTTTACATCTATATCAAAATAAAACACCATATTACAAACATATTTAATGTCAATATCCAACCATTTATACTTTAATCCAACAAATATTATCAAAATCTGATGGTTTTCATACTCGAATCCAATAATTTTCATTTCTTTCGTTAATCATTCCAATAATCAGACCATTGATTTTCCCTAATTTCGATCGGCTCTTCGTATCAGCGATCTTCCAACCGGTTCATATCCAACACCGATTGAACCAGGTCGTGCCGAAACCAACATACCAGCTATTTGACAATCATGATTAAAAAAAAAAACTATAAATAGCATCAACATATAGAGCAATAGTACTTGCTACAACAACCCTTCCCTTCACCATGGCTGATTCCTTCCTATCCTTCTTTCTCCTTCCTCTACTACTACTCGCCATCATCACCACCACCGCTCGAAACGTCGTTGTCGAGGCCGCCCCGGACCTAACCCTGCTCTCGTCCTTCTGCGGCACGTACCGCGATGTCAGCGGTTTCAGGAAGGATCAAGCCGGGAGAGCCGTGCAAGCTGCCGCCGAATACACACTCCCCGACGACAAAAATCATTGCTCGGAGATCGGCGGCGAGCCCGTCATGTACAGTACGGCCTGGTGTTCGGAATCCGTTTCTCAGGCGGATTGCACCGACTGCATCAACTACGCCGGAGACCAGCTGGTGAATCAGAACATCTGTGGCGATCACTACGGCGCCCAGATCACCGTTGTCAGTTGTTCAATGAGGTATGAGATCAACCCGATAGACGAATGTCCCGGCTTTCCTTAATTAATAATCCTCATCAGCAAAAAGAAAGAAAGTGGGAAACTAATTAATCGGTACTTAATTAATAAATGTTCAGTCATCTCTTGTGATATGATGGCAATTTTACTTAAGAATAATAAGTATTGTTATGTTTGTTTACTTTTTGATCGTACTTATATTGTGTGAGCATGGTTCATGAAACCGTATTATATCTGCGGTTCAATCATAAAACACCAGTATCGGAGTACGGTTTCATGGACAGATGAGTGTGAGGGGAAACGAAAGTATGAATTGTAGTAACTTGTTCTTGAAGTTATATATATACTTGTGCTTGGATTTAATATGAAGTTACTCCTTTCACCCTTGCCTCTCGCCCTCTATTGAAATCAAAATCAATCGGTGAAGCAGAAACAAGCATTCAAAAAAGAATCCATATAAATTTATGAGGAATAGAGGAAGATAATGAGAAGAGAGGAAGAAGTGACAGACTACCCCCGGTGCCACCTAGTATCACTATGTACCACCTTTGTTTTCACTCAAAATTTGAAAAAAAAAATGTCCAGAAAGAACGAGTTCATCATGATCTATTAGATTTACAAACTTCTGAGAAGAAAAGTTCCAGGACCAAATATATTACCCTGGTATATAATAGTAACTGGTGGTAGATGATAATAAAAGGTGGTAAATATGATGAGAGTTGTCTAGAAGGAAGGAGCTCGTCGTGATGCATTGGATTCTACAAACTTCTGGGAAGAAAAAATTTTGGACCAAATATATTCCCTTGGTATAAGGTGGTAACTGGTAGTAGATGATAATGAAAGCTGGCAAATGATAGTTAATATATTTCCTGTTATCATGTAGCCAACAATTCTATGCTATGGTATATTCGTACCACCATGACACTCTTTCATACCACATGGTTTAATCTTATGTACTACCAAGCATTACGACGATGGTCGTGAACAAGGCGATGCTTGGCGCCAGCGGCGCCGTCGACGGCGCCGAGAAGCAGCACTGCCAGCACTCGTCCCCCGACACCGACAACGGCTCCTTTTATTGTGCGTATGCTTCTTGTACTTCCTCGCTATCCGGCGACGACTGCCGGTTTTGTCTGGACGCTGCCGACTCGTTGTTGTTAGGGGTGTCATTTCGGGTTGGGTTCGGTTACCCGAATCGAAACCCAAAGCCGAAAATCACTGAAACCGAACCCGATAAGGACTTGCGGGTTCCGGTTACCCAAAACCCGAAAATTCCTTATCGGGTTCTGGTTCGGTTAAAGCAAAACCAAACCCCGAATGCCTAAGAATATGAGGTGAGTTCTATTCATTGGAGGTTTTTAGCCAGAACCCGAAAAACCGATAAACAAAACCGAACCCAAAACCGATAAACAAAACCGAACCCAAAACCAAAAAACCTGAAACCCAAAATGAACCCGAACCTGAAAAAACGAAAATATATATAATTGGGTCGGTTTTGGGTAAACCCGAAAAACCGAACCCGAATAGACACCCCTAGTTGCTGTGGTATAAGTATTGCAAGGATCGAGACGGCGGCCAGTTGGCTCTCAAGATTGTTACCTGAGGTACGAGACCTACACATTCTGTAGCTAGCTACCTAAGAGAAAAAAAAACCCCAGAAATAAAGCGGAGTGGGATTTTCGTAGCACTCGTTACCACTCTGTTATCATCTGGTGTGTCGCTCTATATCATTTTTCGTTTTCACTAAAATTGAAGGGGGAAAATTATAGAAAGAACAAGTTCACCTTGGTATATTAGATCTATAAATTTATTGGAAAAAAAAAATATTTCCGGACAATATATATCACCTTTTACCATCATGATATATGGTGATAGCTGGTGATACAAAGTCGTAGATGGCGGTTGATATATTCTTGCTGCCTGCCTTGATTACAATAAATTTACACCATGATATTATCCATACCGTGATGATATAATTTTTGGTTTAGCTTGATGGATTGGTGATTTGTGTATGTATATGGTCACCTTCTCGCCAAAGAATTTTTCGTGTCCAAGATTCCCAAAAGCCCAGCCAATTGCAGCCCACCTTCCCCAGTTGAGTTTCCGTCTGTGTTCCAAGCTGCCTTGTCCAATTAATTCCCCAGTTCCGTCCACAATAATTCTCCAGCCCCAGCTCCAATTATAATTCCGCCGGCGCCATTTATTTTGATCCCGTGGCAGCTGGGCCTTGAGCTGCCCGTGTCCCTCCATCAATTGGGCTTTAGCCCAATTACTTGTTGTGGAAGAAACATGGATCCAATTTCTCCCGCCATCTCCTACTTCAGAAGTTCCAGTGCTGACATTTTATCTATCTTTTCACCTAAACACACACCAAAACTCCAACACAAAATGGTAATGGCTTTTCAACCATTACGGATTAATTCTCCCTAAAATAGCACCAATCGGCTTAAACATACCATGAGATAGTCACATAAAGTTCAAGAATCCGATATATTAAAGCCGATTATCACCTAGTCCACTTTTTGATCCAAACCACATGATCTAGAAAGCATAAAATTGCAGCTTTTTTTTCTCTCCAACATTAACAATATACAATCATTTATTGATGTATATTTAATTAGTCTTTATGAAAATATATTTGTAGTCATATTACCTTGTGAGTATTCAAAAAAATAATGCGCAGCTATGTTCGCGAACCAATGAATACCAATATACACTCCTAGGTACATGTTCAGTTCGGTTGAGTTTTCTTTTCTAATATAAGTGGATATTTACCGGGTTTTTCAGTGGCCACACTCGCTGATTTGGGTTTGGATTTAGTGAAATTCGACCCAACCCGACCTATTTACCATCTCTACATGCACGACTGGAAAACACATCGCGATATGAGTTGACTTCGTAGGAATAAAGAAAATTAAGAGGTAGCCGTTGCAGGGTACTATATTACTTAAGAAACAAAACTACTAAACCAGACAGAAAAGAATCGAATAGGGCACGAAGGAGTAGTCGTACGTCTATAGAACTCCACTAAATCTAAGAGTTATTGTAACCAAAAAAAGTAAGCAAAGAAATCAAACCAAGAGCCGCGGCAGATGCTGCATTACCTACAAAACAAAACTGCCATCGACAAACCTAAGAATTCTTTTGTAATTTATTACATGCTTGGAAAAAGACCCAATAAAATACGAGCCTTTTTGTGACAAAATAATAAATCTCATCTCTAAATTGAATAAAAATAAAAACGACCGGGTTCAATAGCCGCTGCATGTTCTCTGTGATGGAACAATGTATTTTAACAGAAAGGATTGACAGCAATCAAAGATGATTTGCATTATGATTCTCTGTTCTCTTTATACACGGTTACAGGAGAAATGAGGAGAAGTAGTTCAGAGGTTTAAGGAGAAGTTACAGGAGGTGGAGAAGTGGTTGTACAGTAGTGGGAAATAAAGAAATAAACAATAGAAAAAGAATTTTATTCTTTTTCTCTAATACGCCCCCGCAAGATGGAGGTCGTGTCAACGACTCCAATCTTGGATCGAAGAAGAAGGAAGCGAGTCGCAGCCAGAGGTTTAGTGAGCACATCAGCAAGTTGCTGAGCAGTAGGGATGTAGCGAACGGTGAGACGACCATCCTGGACCAGTTGACGAACAAAGTGATAATCGAGTGCCAAATGCTTCATCCGGGAATGAAACACAGGATTAGAACTGAAACTCGTAGCCCCAAGATTATCAGAGAATAGTGTGGGCGAGACAGATAATGGCTGACGGAGCTCAGTCAAGAGATTTTGCACCCACTCTAACTCAGTAGCAGCGTGGGCAATAGCCCGATATTCAGCTTCAGTACTGGAGCGAGCAACAATGCGTTGTTTTTTAGACCGCCAAGATATGAGGGTGGAGCCAAAGTAGAGAAGATAGGCGGAGGTGGATGTACGGTCATCCAGATTACCTGCCCAGTCAGAATCAGCAAAGGCAGTGAGGCGTAGTGGATCAGAGGAGCGGCGGATAGCAAGACCATAGGAGATAGTGCCACAGACATAACGGAGAAGCCGCTTGAGACATTTCCAATGATATGCGCTGGGAGAGTGCATATACTGAGAAAGCTTATTCACCGAGAAAGCAATGTCGGGACGAGTGTACACAAGATACTGCAATGCCCCTAACACCTGACGATAACGAATGGCATCAGTGGGAGAGGTGCCATCATTAAGAGACAAAGTGGCAGAGGAAGCCAGTGGAGTAGAGGCTGGGGCGGCTTCACGCATATGAAACCTGGTCAGGATATCCACCATGTACTTATGCTGAGATAAAATGTAGCCGGAGATTGTAGGAATGACCTCGATGCCTAAGAAGTAGTCAACATCCCCTAGTGCTTTGAGAGAAAATCGGCCGGCTAGGGCATTCTGAAATGTGGATAGAGCCGCGGAATCATTACTAGTGAGCAGAAGGTCATCCACATAGACCAGAAAATAGAGGAGAACACCAGACCGATGATAGACGAATAAGGAGGCATCAGACTTGGTCTTCTGAAATCCAAACTCAAGCAGAAAGGAGATGAGGGCAGTGTACCAAGCACGAGGAGCTTGACGAAGCCCATATATGGCTTTGCGAAGGCGACAAACATGGGTAGGATGCTGGGGATCCACAAAGCCTGGGGGTTGAGCCATATACACCTCTTCAGTGAGAGGACCCTGAAGAAAAGCATTGTTAACATCAAACTGCTTGATCGGCCAACCCTGAGAAAGAGCAATGGTGAACACAGTTCGAACAGTGACTGGCTTAATGACCGGGCTGAATGTATCTCGGAAATCAACTCCGGGACGCTGATGAAAGCCTTTGGCCACTAGACGCGTCTTATAAAGATGAATAGTACCATCTGTATGATGCTTGATGCGATAGACCCAGCGGTTACCGAGAACATTATAATGTGGTTGGCGCGGGACCAGATCCCATGTATGATTGTGAAGCAAGGCATCATGTTCTCTATGCAGAGCAGCGTCCCATTCAGGAAATTGCATAGCCTCTTGGACGGACCGAGGCTCAAGACGCACAGGCCCAGTTCTGGATGCATGAAGGGCCGGAAATAATCGTTTGGGCCTGTAAATACCAGCTTGGGCCCGTGTGGTCATCCTGCGCGGGCGCGGGACTGGAGGAGGAACAGCGGGCGGGTTGACAGTGGCCTGGGGCGAGCAGGGCTCAGGCCCAGGGGAAGCAGGCCCAGCGGGAGCAGCAGAGGGTCGGGGCAGGGACAATGCGGCGGAGGACGGCCCAGCAGGCCCAGGCGCAGCTGAGGAGGATGGCACGGCTGCGGAGGACGGGCCATCAAGGCCCAGGCGCAGATGAGGGTAGCGGCCCAACCGGCCCAATCGTGGAGGCAAGCCCATCAGCTGATTGTGGTGGTGTGGCAGATGCAACGCAGTGGGGGCCCAGGACTGAGGAAGGGGCAGTAGTGGAGGCAGGAGGAGAGAGCCCAGTGATAGGAATGCGGACTATGTTCGGGCCTAGATCATGTAACCAGGATGCCACGGTCGGGGAATGGGAAGAATGATCGGTCAAAAAACCTGGAAAAGAACGCTCAACAAAGTGGACATGACGAGAGAGAAAAATACGATTATGTGTAGGGTCAAAGCACTTATAGGCACTACGTTGAGGGCAATAACCAATAAAAATGCAAGGACGAGAGCGGGGTTCCAATTTGTGAGCAGAGTAGGGACGCAACCAAGGATAACAGAGACAACCAAACACACGTAATTTATGATAATTAGGAGCAAGGTTGAACAGGATGGCGTAGGGAATTTGACCACGCAATGCAGAGGACGGGAGACGATTAATCAAATAGGCTGCAGTGGAAAAAGCGAATGACCAAAACAGGGTAGGAAGGTTAGCATGATGCAGAAGAGTAATACCCGTTTCAACAAGATGACGATGTTTTCGCTCAGCCAGACCATTATGCTCAGGAGTATGAGGAGGGGTGAGAAGATGAGTAATGCCATGATCGACAAGAGTAGAGCACAGTTTCTGAAACTCACCACCACCATCGGAATAAAGACGACGAATAGTGGTAGAAAAATAATTTTCGACCATCTTGCGGAAATCAAGAAACACAGAGAGCACATCAGATTTATATTTCAAAGGATAGTACCACGTATAACGAGAGAAATGATCAACGATTATTAAGTAATAACGGAAACCATCAATGGAGGTAACCGGAGCCGGCCCCCAAACATCCGTATACAATAAATCAAATGGTCTCATACTGTGCAAAGAGGACATGGCAAAGAGAAGTTTATGACTTTTATTGGAAAGACAGGAATTGCAATGACTACTGACGGTGGAGGAAGATACTGGCAAAGATTGAGAACGAAGAAGACTGTTGAGCGAATGAGTAGACGGATGGCCAAGACGCGCATGCCAGGAAGCGGAGGATGTGCGAGTGGTAACAAGAGCAAGACGAACATTATCCACATCACTAGGCAGCTCATAAACATCTCCATTATTTGCCCCTCTCAATACCGGCGCCCCCGTGCGAAGATCCTTCACAACAAAACAATCAGAAAAAAATTCCACCGAAACGGGATTAGTGCGACAAAGTTTGGCAACAGAAATAAGTTTACGCTTGATGGCAGGGGCACACAAAACATCTTGCAAATGAAAGGAAGACGTTGCAGAACATAAGTGAGTGGACCCAATATGCGTGATTTGCAAACCTGTGCCATCGCCAACAAGAACCTCATCGGGGCCCGTGTAATCAGAATAGAGAGACAAGTTGCCTAAATCGAACGTGACATGATGGGAGGCCGCTGAATCAAGTAACCAGGGGCCCGAGGAGGCAGCGGGGCCAGCTACAGTGTGATGGGCCTGTGTTTGACGAGCCTGGTAGGCCTGACGGGCCTGAGGAAAAAGCTTGAAGCATTGGCGGACCAAACGGGCCACAAGAGAATCGACGAGGTCCTCCAAGACGAGACCGGGACCGCGTGCACGTACCGCAGTAGAGAAGGCTGCATATTCATCTCCCAAGCCACGAAGAACAACCAGATCCATATCAGCCACCGGCGCATTCACAAGAGCAAGTTCTGCGGCAATACCTTTCAGTTCATTCACAAATGTTAAAACGTCATTATCTCCCTTGGTGGTCTTAGCCAATTTAGTTTTCAGATGAATGACCCGAGATTGGGCGCCACTAGCATAGAGCTTTTCAAGAACAAGCCACGCCTTGCGTGACGTCGAGGCCGCAGAGACAAACGAATAGATAGATTCAGAGATTGAACAGCGGAGGGCATGTAGGATAAGCTTATCTTGACGAAACCAAAACTGATAGGCCAGATTGGATTGTGTGGCACTCCCCGTGGTGATCGTTTGTGAAGGAGCAACGGTGGAGCCGTCAATGAAGCCGTACAGATCGAGCCCCATAAGCAGAGTTTCAAGCTGAGACCGCCATGAAGCAAAATTTGTGGGAGTGAGCCGCAGGGGAAGCTGGGCTGCTGGATTGAATGTGACGATGACTGGAACGTCGGCAGAGACAGCGGTGTCATGGACAGAGGAATCGCCGGACATGGTGACGAAGAACAGAGAGTTTCGAAGAAAAGAAAAGAATGCAAGGAGATGAGACTGGATCGATACTAGCTGATCGTTGCTAGCTCTGATACCATGTTGGAACAATGTATTTTAACAGAAAGGATGGACAGCAATCAAAGATGATTTGCATTATGATTCTCTGTTCTCTTTATACACGGTTACAGGTGAAATGAGGGGAAGTAGTTCAGAGGTTTAAGGAGAAGTTACAGGAGGTGGAGAAGTGGTTGTACAGTAGTGGGAAATAAAGAAATAAACAATAGAAAAAGAATTTTATTCTTTTTATTCTTTTTCTCTAATACTCTGTCCCTTGCAAAACAAAACTAAACAAGACAAAAATAACTACTAGACTACAAAACGAGCAATAATCCAACTAGTTATTAAGACAAAGTAGTATTAGCAACGAAACAACAACATTATTGTGACACTAAACAAAGCTACAAAGATTTGCTTTTAATTATCAGTTTCGTCCCGATCACATTGTGACTCACATGCCCTTACAAAATGTGATATTTCCAAACCGGTCCTTCCACCCGACCAATATAAATACAAGTCACTCAGAACCCAACAAGCCATCATCAACACCAACTCAAACAGACCATCAAAACACATGGAGAAAAACATGGCAATGTCAACTTCATGCATATTCCTCATTCTCGCTGTGCTCATCTTTAGCAACGGGTTCCACGGAGCGGTCGCCAAAACCGAACCGCTCGATTTCAACAAGCACAGGGTCGACGGGAACTGCGGCGAGTGGGTCGACTCTCGCCCCGAATTGCGAGTAGAGGCATTGAGATCCATCGATCTTGCGATCGACGTCGCGACCAAAGACAAGAAACCCAACACATGCGCAATGGCGACGGGTTCTTCAATCTTCGCAGCAGCGAATTGCTCCAAGGAGCTCAGTAAACCTAAGAGGACTGGCGATTGCAGGAATTGCCTCTTCAATGCTCAGTTCCGTGTGGTCGACAAGGAGTGCCCGCAGAAATTCGGGGGCTGGATCAAGCTCGTCGACTGTTACGTGAGGTACGACACGTACAAATTTTGCAAGTGAAACGCGCGAGCTAGCTCGATCGTGTGGGAAGATGTTGCAGTTTGGTCATATTGAAGAAAGGGAAAGCTACTTTTATATATATATGTGTGTAAGAAAACGATGATGTTATAAACCATCATGAAATAAGCTAATAAAGTTCCTTTTTCTTTCGTGCATTTCAATGAAGACTGATCATGGAGGTTCTTAAATCGATCTCCTCTTTTTTACTTTCCTCTCCCAGTTATTTCAATTATCACAAAACGAGTTCATTCAATTAATTACTGGGTCTCAAACTATATCACATTCAAATACTGCATCCAAACAACACATAAATTTTTATGGCTTATTATATATGGTTTGTTAAAATTCAAATTTAGAACTCTTTTACAAAAGAAAATCATATTATTTATAACAAGGTAAACTAAATTGTGATTCATCCTTTTTTTTTCTCGTAGAAACATGAAATTTACACCTGGCGGTAAATGGCAGTATACATTTTTCGCCTAACTCACTCAAAATGATTTAATTGGGTCAGAATAAATTATAATAATACAACGCACTCTCAAGCAACTCATATGTTCTTTTCCTTCGAAAACAAGACCATTTTTACCGAAACCCAATTTTCACTCGGTGGACAAATTATCGTGTTCATACTAATTGACTAATTCCTATCCAGCTATGACAAAAAGAAAAAAAAAATCCTATCCAGAAAGAGCTCTCCTCTCGCCATCAGCCGTATTCTCCGATCCGTCGACCTTAAACTCCGGCGTGTGAAGCTGTTTTCTCCTCTCGTCAGCTGTATTCTTAAATCCTAATCCTCTGATCGATCATGGATCGCATTCCATCGATTTCTTCTGGTACTCTCTGAACTTGATCTCGAGCCTTATTTAGTTCCGGATTCCGAAATCTGATTTGTGCATGTAGATTGCTAGAAATGCAGTGCGCGAATCAGGGGCAAGATTTGGCTTCCGTTCTTCTCATTTTCATAGATTGATTTCCTAAAATGATCTCTGCAATTCATCCCGATGTCAACAACAGCCAGCCATCTCGGATTTCGTCAACTTGTAAGTCCATCCCTCTTCCTCTTTCGTTAAATCTTTGCTCTCACTAGTAATAGATAAGTTCAACCGTTTGTGTGCATGGAAGCCTCTGCTGTTCTTATTTCCAAATGATAGAACTGAACCCTATCTCCGTTAGGGTTTCAGAAGCAACATTTTGCCCCCTCTATTTTCTTGCTGCTGCTGTTTATTTGTGCCAATTAGTATTAATTTAGTCCAATTTGCTTTGGTTACAGGCTAACAACAGAAGGGGTGGTTGTTATTAACTTGTACAAGGATTGCTTGTGGAGATTGGATGATTGGTTATGTCATACAAATAGAACTATGCTAATGGGTTGTGGATGTTGGTAGAATCTGGGTGAGTGTAAGGATTCCTTAATTGGACGTAATATCCTTGAGGTTTAAGTTGTATCTGCTTAGTGTGTTTTTGTTTGCTTCTGTGGAAAATCAAGTTTAGTTTTAACTTCGTTCTTTTGTATTCTAAGATTTGGAGTAAGGACTCATAATACCAAGTTTCCCTTCTGCAGTTCCATTTTGAGCAAAGTAAAGTCACATCTTGAGGTACTATGCTTTTTATCTTAGGGCAAATACAATATAATATCCATAACTATTATGTATCGGGAATTTATATCCACATCTATCAATATACAAAATATTATCCAAAATTACTGTTTCGCGTAATTAAATGGATAGAACCCCGTTATCGTGAGTTTAACTGTAACGGTGCCGGACACGTCAGCCGCCTCGTAGGATTCCACGTAGGATTTCAATTAATTACTAATTTTATTAACTTTCTTGCCCCTTTTCATTTCAGATGTTCCCCCAAAATCCTAGGGTTGGGTTGGCTCACGATAGAGACGAAGTGAGGAAAGGTCGCCGCCACCGTCGTCGCGACCTTCACCGTTGTCGCTTCCCGCCGTCGCGACCTTCACCGCTGTCGCTTCCCACCGTCTCGACCAGCACCGCCGTCGCTTCCCACCGTCGCGACCTTAACCGCAGTCGCTTCTCCCCCGTTCATAGCTTGTTCGTTCGATTGAGGAACCCTCCTGGTCTGGTCAGTGAAGAATACTGGTTCGAGGGAACCCTTTGTCTTCAAATCGCGAGGGTAAGTTCTTCTATTCTTCTATTAACCCTGCCCCTGTCTGCCTCTTTCCATCGTCAACTGGTTGGAGGGATCTTCTGTAGATTTCAGTAAGAATGGGATGTTTGATACACGAATGGAGCTTCTGGTTCATTCCCAGTTTGATACACGAATGGGATGTTTCTTTCAGTAAGAAGAATAATGTATGCATTGGAGGGATCTTCTTGTTCAGCCAGCACAAATGACGTTGTCGGGCCGCTGTGCCATTGTAACAAACCCTGCATCGTGAACAAGTCTGGTACTAGTAGGAATCCAGGAAGGCAGTTTTATTGTTGTCAAAATTGGAAGGTAATTGTCTTTGTTTGTCACGTTGGGTTTGTTTACCTATGACCTTCATCTTAGTAATAGATTTATTTTCATTTGTAGACGAATGATTGTCGGTTCTTCCTATGGGTGGATAAGTATATGAGAAGGAATGGATCAGTGTGGTCTACACATGATGATGAGACAGTTGGTCTTAAGGCAAAACTTATGGAAGTGGAAGCAAGCAACAACAAGCTGTTAGAAGAGTTGAGTAGAATGAGAGAAAGTCATGCAAGGTTGGTTTCCGAGCTGAGCAGAATGAGCAACATTATCTCTAGCTTTGACACGAAGATAACAAGGCTGATGTACTGTCTAATTGGTGTCATAGTTTACGCTGCATTCTGTAGATTCCAGGGAGTTTGAGGTGTAGGAAAATGTAAGCAAACACTTATGTAATGTTCAATTCCATTCTAGTTTGAGCATTGTCGTGATGTGTGGAAAACAAGTAAACTTCAGTTTCAGTATTGTTTCGTACGATCTGAGCACTTCTATAACACGTATTATATAGACACCTTGTACCAAAGCTAAATCGTTTCAAAAGAAGTTGACAGCATTACATCTGCACTATTTTGGACAAAATGAACCGAGCCTGTACAGTATGCAAAATGTGGTGAACCAACTGGAATCACCTTACAAAGCTCGATTGAAATTGTTCCAGAACGCTAGATACTTGCGTAGTGTTTGGGACAAGATGAATTGAGCTTGTACAAAATGCAAAATGTGGTGAACCAAACCGGAATCACCTTACAAGCTAAAATTGCAAACCTCCTCCCTATTAACATACTGTTCTACCATAGACAAAAGCTAAAACATGACAAAGAAACATTCCACACACACATCTTCAAGCCTAATGTTGTGGTTGAGACTCGGGTTGAGTTGAAGGAGCTCCCGTTGTATCAATCTGAGTTGTCTGAGTTCCAACTCCCTCTGCAGAAGTACCAGCTCCATCTCCCGATCCAGTTGCAAGATTCTCATAGATGCAATCAACCCCTAGAGCCTGTCTAACTTCTCCATCCACCACCAAGTTCCTGTGAAGGTTCCCATTTCTTGATGTCTACATAAGGAAAACAAATTTAAGGGTTCAAAGTTCAGAATCATGTAAATGAGTCAAGGATTATATGGCGTATGAGAGTCTTACACGTGCTGGTTGGTTCAAATTCTCTGGACAACTCCTTGCATTATGTGTCGTTGACCGACATTTAGAGCAGTGCATAACCCTCTAGGAATACCACACAAGACACCAATCAATCAATCAATCAATCAACTTTCTCAAAATATTCAAAGTAGCAGATGAACAAGTGGCATACCTTTTGACGGGTTGATCCTTCATCCTGGTGCTCTATACCTCTGCCAAGTGCAGATCCTCCAGCCTGCTGCCCTCTACCTCTGCCGCGGTTAGATCCTCGAGCCTGCTGCCCTCTGCCGCGGTTAGATCCTGCAGCCTGCTGCCCTCTACCCCTGCCGCGGTTTGATCCTCCAGTTTGTGGGTTGGGGCATTTTCTCACGTTGTGACCAGCACTCCCACAGTTTGAGCAATGCAACACCACTCCTTTTTTTGACATTCCTGTACCCGAAGACCTCCCATCTTTGTGCAACCTTTTCTCAAGTTCACCTGCTTCCTTTCTCCTTTTCTTTTTTGGTCTCCCTGGCATCTTTTTTTGCTTTGGAGGGTATATTGGATACCCTTCAGCCCTCTGCCGCGGACGTAATCTTCCAAGTGCAGCCTCATTAGCCCAATAGCAGAGAGTACATGGCAACAAGGGAGACCACTTAGGTCCCAAGCACCACATGTACATGTACGATTCTTCAAATCGACAACAAACGCTGAATTCCCAAGTTTCACCTCTACCATGTGCTCGCTGCTAGCAAGAGAAACACACATTGTTCCTCATCATCATAACATGAGTTCTGATACCCTCTAACATCTCAATTATCCTATATTCTCTGTACTTAACAACCACATTGCTCCAACTTTCACAAATATTTGACTCCACTGAATCTGATTTGGGCACTCTAGATAAGAAAGCACGGCATAATGTTTTTGGATCTTGTTCCATAAAGTCATTGTAGGGTGTCATTTGCGATTGCGTACCTTGGAACACTTCCATCTTTTGGGTGGCAGCTCGAAAATCAACCTCATTAGTCGCATAAACAGCCTCCCAGTACACTCTTCTCATATGCTCGTTCTTAACCTTAGTCTTCCAATTAGCAAAGACGTGTCGGGCGCACTTCCTATGTTCCGCAAATGGCATGACTTCATGAATTGCTTCAACTAGTCCCTGAAATTATGTAGTGATATTAGAATGCAGAAAATATGATATTGGAATGAAAAAAGATCATGTTGGTTCAAATCACCACTCACCTTTTGTTGGTCTGAAATTACACTCCAACCATTTCCATCACTGAATCCTAACTCTTCTTGTAGAGTGTTCAGGAACCAAGTCCAAGAACTCCTATTTTCCCCCTCAACGACGGCCCACGCAAATGAAATTATATGGTTGTTTCCATCCTTGGCCACAGCGGTAATTAACATCCCAGACACTTCGCCTTTCAAAAAGGCACCATCGATAGAGAAAATGGGGTGACAACCAGCCAACACACCTTTTCTAAGGCTAGAGAACCCGATGTAGATCCGCTTGAAATACACCTTCTCCTCTAATACAGGATCTGGATCTACCTCGAGAAAAAACCTCCCTTCTTCATCTGCTGCCATTAGAGCAGCCACATAATCCCTCAGTTTGTGGTACTCTTGTACAAGTGTACCATTCATCATCTCCTTAGCAATGGCCTTAGCACCATAACATGTCCTTACCTCAACGTCGACACCCAAATCTATTTTGACCTCCATTGCAATTTGAGGGCCTTTCCAATCGGGATTGCTTCTGAAACGGTCAATAAAGTGTTCGGCAATGAAGCGAGCCGTAGCTAGGTTCACTCGTGTCGACCTAGTACAGGAGTGAGGCAATCCAACCCTTCTCACCATGAAATATGACCTGTCTGCCCACCATGCACCGTAGACCCTCCATTTACAAGAAACATCTTTACAGTGGAACTCCACCCGACTTGGTTCACTCCGATTGCAACACACACTGGCCCCAACAGCAACTGCATGTGTGGCGACAGCTTTCTTGAAAGTTTCAACAGTTAGAAACTTAAGTCCCACATGGAACTCAAACTGTTTGTGATCACACAGTGGATCATAAAATGGAAGATTATCCATCATGTCCTCGGGTTCTTCATCATCTAATACATGCTGACTTCTGTGTGTAGGTGTTGATGCTTCATCCGGATCGAAGTCTTCGTCAGAATCATCCTCCTCATCTGATCCCACAGCAGCACGAGATTGGTTTGCCTCTTCACCATCACCACTATCAGACCCCTCTTCCTCTGATCCATCCTCATCAGAACCATTATCAGACCCCTCTTCCTCCGATCCCTCTTCACCAGAACCAATATCAGCCCCCTTTGCCTCGGATCCCTCTTCCACGTCCGGTTCATCTACATTAAATATCTCTTCCCCCTGTGCCTCAACAATGTTGTCTGCCTGTTCGTTGTCTCCCATGAGTCCATCTCCATTCTCAATTACCTCAGCATACACAGTAACCACCTTAGTATCGTCTAAATCAACAAGCAGCCCCTCCATCACTTCCTTATCAGATTTAACTTCATGCAGGCCATCAGACATCGTGGATCCCGGGGTCAAGTACCAAATCTTTCGGACGCCTTCATAGTGCAAGTGCACTGTAGCCAATGCCACAAGTCCAAAGTAGGACACTTGATCAACATCAACGTTGAATTTTTCACAATCACCCCCCACATATCGTGGTTAATCACCGGAGAAGTCCATCTCGCCTCCGTGATGGTAGTCAATCCCCATGTATTCAGTCATCTGCATGGTCAAGTATTATACAGGTTGTTATATTCCTTGAAAACAAACAGACACAACAACAACCATAAAATATTCTCGTTCACATGTGTTGGTTATCAAACGATGGGGAAACTAGAATTCCAACACACTGCAATTGACCATTATATCCACCAATTCCAATTTCTTTCAACACAACCCTAAGCCAACAGAATGGGTATTGTTCGAATTGGAGAATCGGTACTGAAAACCTAATCTTTCAGTACTGGTAAGCTTTTGACGGAACAAACCAGAATCACCTTACCTTCGTCCCGGGAATCGTCCAATCTGGCTATGGAAGTCTCGCGAATCGTCCAGTCTCCTCTGCCGCGTCGATTACACTTCCTCTGGCACGGGACTCGGGCGGTGGCAATTTCGTCGGATGAAGTGGGGGCGGGGGGACTCGGGGACTCGGGCGGTGGCAGTCTCGTCGCCACGCCTGCAAGAAGGTGAGTGGCTCGTCGGCGACTTCGGGTCTTGGCAGACGAAGGGGGAGATGCGATTGGTCCCGTATGTCATTCGAATTGGGGCCGCCGACGATGCAGATTACCGGGAGGTTGCGGGAGGAAGGCACCGGCGACAGGCGATGGCGTTGATGACGCCAAGCCCGCCGACGGTGAACGCGACGACTTCGTGTCTTCGTCGGCGTCGTCGGGTCTTGGCAGAGGAAGGGGTAGATGAGAGAAGGGGTTTAGGATAAGAGTGAGTGAGTGGATGTGAGAGGAGGGGAGGATATTTGTTTCCTTTATTTTTTAAGTTTTATGTTATTCCATATTAAGTATAATGAATTCCACCTGGGATGCCACCTCAGCTTTTTTTGCCAGGTCAGCATTGTAGAAAGACCTTCTAACGGGGTATTAACGGACAATTAACGATTGGATAATATTTTGTATATTGATAGATGTGGATATAAATCCCCGATACATAATAGTTATGGATATTATATTGTATTTGCCCTTTATCTTACTCTACTTAATCCATGAATATTACTTTGTTCAAGTAACATATGAAATTTCTAGCATAAAACCTATAGTTTCATATGACTGATTTATGACCGTACTGATCCCTGGCTTTGATTCTAGAATCTCTTAGGTTTATCACTACACTACAGTTGCAATTCGTTGATTAGCTGTTAAATTAATCATGTTTTGAGTACCACCAGTTAGTTAAGTGTGAAAACTGTGATTTGACTACACGTACCCCTGCTAAATTAACTCTGATATTGGTAAAAGTGATAGGAACCTGGTAGTACTATGATTTGGTCATAGCCGAAGGCTGGAAGCAGCTGATGGAGCTTGCCGGTCAGATGTCGGAGTCCAATTTTAACTCTTCCTCAGAGACAGCGTGAACCAAAGGACTCTTTCACCATCTCAAGCAATAAGAGAAGGGGGATCACGTGGAGGTCGTTAAAGGTGGAAGCTTTCATTTTTAGTTCTTATTCTATCCTGTTCAAAGGAGAAAAAGGGGTCAATTAGTACTAACTAATCTGACAATGTAGACATGCAAAAAGGTGTTGAAGAAGATGAAAACGCGGGCCAGAACCTTTGGTCAGTTTTGCACTCTCCTGTGGAAGCTAGTCACGACCTGTTGGACTGGTATCCGCTGAACTTTTCACTTGATGTGCCTCTGCAAATGGGAATTTGGATAGCTATACTTCACACAAAACAAGATGAAATCACACATGTAGAACTTTCTTCAAAACTGCAGGTATCTACACCAAGCAATGATTTACTATGTGCTTTGATTTTCGTTCGTAACACTAGTTAGTTACTACATGATTTGCAACAGGGCAAGTAGTGGCTCCGGACAAGACGTCGGCAACGTACGTGTCGAGCTGGACAGGAACATCAAACGAGAGGATCCGCAGTACAATCCCGTGCTCGTGATAATGGCAGCTAAACTTTCGTACGAGAGCGGAAGTTACATTGAAACAGTTGCCAATCAGCAGTGGCAGGTAAATTACCAACGAAATATTTGTACCCCTCTGAATCCTGAGTCCTGACTTTGAAATTATCTTCCCGAGTCCTCCACTTATCAACAGCTAAACTTTAAGCTTTGGTTTCCCTTTACACAGTTGAATTAGAAGTTTAGCAGCAGCTTAATAAACAGTTCATTCTCTATCAGACTCTATGTATTCTCAGGCCAGGTCGCCTTCTTACTAACTACCATATGAAGTCTCCTGCTAAGGTGACTTACAATGGTTTGCACTATTACTTGCCTCATTGGTCCATCAGCATCCTTTCTTATTGTAGACATGTAGCTTCCAAGTTCGAACACTGCCACAGTGAGTAACCTTCTTAATAAGCTTTCTCTGCAATCAAGGTACTTAAACTATAGATAGAATCGAAACACCAAGAGAATTGCAGAATCATAAGTTGTGTGGCCCCAATGATGTTTCATGTTTATCTATCTCAAGAGCTAGATTTTCTTGGTGGTGAAAAAGCTAATTAGCTCATAAAGCTGTTAATGTGTAGGTTGGAGTTAAGGCATCAAATGTCCAAATTAAATGTTCCCAACCGGTACTAGATTGATGTCGTGGGAGTCTTACAATGAACATATGAATTCTCTTTAAGATAGCTCGAGGATGACGGCTCATGGGCTCTTGGAGCAGATCAATGTCATTGGAGATACTAGCTAGTCACTATCTGTGGTACATGACCAAGTGAGTTTTGGTTTGCTGTAATAGTCTAAGAAAACCTCGAATGTTCTTTCTTGTTGAGTATCTTCTCTACTTCCAGCGTCCACATCGGACCATGAGAATCGTTTCTCCGCGGCGGACCTAAGCCAAGCCTCAGTGTGCAATCACCAGGACATGCCCCCTCCATGTTTTCATCAATGAACACCATTTCGGTAAGCTAATGTAGTTTGAACTTTGTTATGGCTATTGTAGTTATGTCTTGATTCAAATTTCTGTGCTTTACGATTCCAACTGGTTGCTTTTAGGGCTCAGAATTTGGTTTCCGATTATGTAATCCACGTATTTCAATGAGTTAAGTGCTGCTCATTGCATTTTCAAAAAATTGCAATAAGTTAATATGACTGCTTGTAACATTTATAGCCTTAAAGTGCATTGATGAAATGGATGACAGGGAGGAGAATATAATTGGAAGTGTCTCAGAGAACACTCAAGCAAAGGTGAGCTTCTTCCAACTCAGTAAAATGACGCTACTAAGCTTGTGAAAACTGAAAAGGTATTATTGCTTTATGTAATCATTCTTGAATCTGGTTTTGGGATGCACCATTCTCATTCGTCTTAGTATTCCCCCCTGTATATCATTCTTAAAGCTAGGTTTGAGCACTAAATTGCACCAACTAAAAAACTTTGTTGTTTTTTCATCAAACACATGCAGGAAATGTGGCATGAGTCTTGATTATTTCTATGAAATATAAAGTAGTGTAATCATTTATTTGTAGCATTGTCCTAGGTTGGAAGCAGTTATCTCCAATTTTTATATGCACAGTTTTGAGATCTTGACTTTGTTTCTTCAGCTAATAGCCGTTATGAGAATTAAATTTGTTTTTCTTGGCTTTGTAACAGGTTAAGATGACACAATACATGGCATGAGTGATCCAGAAGAAAGCAAGGGCTCTATATTATGGATCTTGCTGGAACTTTTATTTTACTTTAATTATTTTCTTGCAAAATTGTTGGCTGTTGAGTTTCAAACAAGTACAGATATTAATGGTTAATATCGCTTTTGAAAGTTAATGTGATAATGAATATTCAGGTATTTGTGCAAAATTATGAGAATATATTTCTGAATCTTTTTAGTGACAGTCGTTTCGAAACCGTCGCTAAATTTAGTCTTTAGCGACCGCTGGGGGCACTTACCCGACATTTGGGGAAAATGATAACAGCAATTGTGACCGCTGCTGGAACCGTTGCAAAAACTTCCACCAGGGGTTCCGGTGACCCCTGGCAAAACTCTGCGGCGGTCATCCTAGCGGCGGGTTTGCAGCAGTTGCTGTAACCGCTGGCGGGGTCCTTAGTGGCGGTTATTTCTGCCGCAAAAAGCTCAAAAAACCCCAGCCATATGTGATTTATTTTGTAGTGCACCTAGTATCACTATGTACCGCCTTTAATTTCACTCAAAATTTGAAAAAAAATTTGTCCAGAAAGAACGAGCTCATCGTGATCTATTGGATTTACAAACTTCTGAGAAGAAAAGTTTCATGACCAAATATATTACCCTGGTATATAATAGTAACTAGGTTGTAGATGATAATGAAAGGTGGTAAATATGATGAGAGTTGTCTAGAAGGAATGAGCTCGTCGTGATGCATTGGATTCTACAAATTTAGGTGAAGAAAAAATTTCGGACCAAATATATTACCTTGGTGTAAGGTGGTAACTGGTAGTAGATGATAATGAAAGGTGGCAAATGATAGTTAATATATTTTCTGTTATCATGTAGCCAATAATTCTATGCTATAGTATATTCGTACCACCATGACACTCTTTCATATCACATGGTTTAATCTTATGTACTACCAAGCATTACGACGATGGTCGTGAACAAGGCGATGCTTGGCGGCAACGGCGCCGTCGACGGCGCCGAGAAGCAACACTGCCAGCACTCGTCCCCCGACACCGACAGCGGCTCCTTTAATTGTGCGTATGCTTCTTGTACTTCCTCGCTGTCCGGCGACGACTGCCGGTTTTTTCTGGACGCTGCCGACTCGTTGCTGTTAGGAGTGTCAGTTCGGGTCGGTTTCGGTTACTCGAACCGAAACCCGAAGCCGAAAATCACTGAAACCGAACCCGAACCCGATAAGAACTTGAGGGTTCCGGTTACTCAAAACCCAAAAATTCCTTATCGGGTTCGGGTTCAGTTAAAGCAAAACCAAAACCCGAATGCCTAAGAATACGGAGTGAGTTCTATTCATTGGAGGTTTTTAGCCGGAACCCGAAAAACCGATAAGCAAAACCGAACCCAAAACCGAAAAACCTGAAACCCAAAATGAACCCGAACCCGAAAAACCGAAAATATATATAATTGGGTCGGTTTCGGGTAAACCCAAAAAACCGAACCCGAATAGACACCCCTAGTTGCTGTGGTATAAGTATTGCAAGGATCGAGACGGCGGCCAGTTGGCTCTCAAGGATTGTTACCTGAGGTACGAGACCTACACATTCTGTAGCTAGCTACCTAAGAGAAAAAAAACCCCAGAAATAAAGCGGAGTGGGATTTTCGTAGCACTCGTTACCACTCTGTTATCATCTGGTGTGTCGCTCTATATCATTTTTCGTTTTCACTCAAATTGAAGGAAGAAAATTACAGAAAGAACAAGTTCACCTTGGTTATCACCTTTTACCACCATGATATATGGTGATAGCTAGTGATACAAAGTCGTAAATGACGGTTGATATATTCTTGCGGCCTGTCTTGATTACAATAAATTTACATCATGATATTATCCATACCGTGATGATATAATCTTGGTTTAGCTTGATGAATTGGTGATTTGTGTATGTTTATGGTCACCTGTATTAGTTACGTACGTACGTGCATGCTTTGCTTTTAATTGGCCTTTGCATGCACACTACATGCATGTATCATGTATGGATGAACACCCGGGTCTACTTATTTTTTCGGTCCAGTTTGAGAATGGGCTTGCGTCCATGGACTTTCAGAGACATCAGGCCTTTTGCGACCAAGTACTAATTTGCTATTGGAACGGCCCCAAAGCTTCACCAGCCTTTTTTTCTTGGACGAAAAAGACGAGTACATCTTTGTTATTATATATGTTTTCCTTGATCAGAAGCAGGTAGCTCTACTGTTATATATAGGGTGTGATGGGAATGTAACTCTGGAATCATGGGTATCAAAACCCGATTATTCAACCCGGTCAAAGCGGATAGAATTAAGTGTTAAAAAGGGTTTTGGATCGTGTGCGCGGATTTTATCTGATTTTAGAACCGGTAATTATGTTTGAGTTTTTGCCAATACCTAGTCCACTTTTTGATCCAGACCACATGATCTAGAAAGCATAAAATTGCAGCTTTTTTTTTTCTCTCCAACATTAACCATATACAATCATTTATTGATGTATATTTAATTAGTCTTTATGAAAATATATTTGTTGTAATATTACCTAGTGAGTATTCAAAAAAATAATGCGCAACTATGTTCGCGAACCAATGAATACCAATATACACTCCTAGGTACATGTTCAGTTCGGTTGAGTTTTCTTTTCTAATATAAGTGGATATTTACCGGGTTTTTCAGTGGCCACACTCGCTGATTTGGGTTTGGATTTAGTGAAATTCGACCCAACCCGACCCATTACCATCTCTGTATGCACGGCTGGAAAACACATCGCGATATGAGTTGACTTCGTAGAAATAAATAAAATTAAGAGGTAGCCGTTGCAGGGTACTATATTACTTAAGAAACAAAACTAAACCAGACAGAAAAGAATCGAATAGGGCACGAAGGAGTAGTCGTACGTCTATAGAACTCCACTAAATCTAAGAGTTATTGTAACCAAAAAAAGTAAGCAAAGAAATCAAACCAAGAGCCGCGGCAGATGCTGCATTACCTACAAAACAAAACTGCCATCGACAAACCTAAGAATTCTTTTGTAATTTATTACATGCTTGGAAAAAGACCCAATAAAATACGAGCCTTTTTGTGACAAAAATAATAAATCTCACCTCTAAAATTAAACCAAAATAACCGTGTTCAATAGCCGCTGCATGTTCTCTGTCCCTTGCAAAACAAAACTAAACAAGACAAAACTACTAGACTGCAAAACGAGCAATAATCCAACTAGTTATTAAGACAAAAGTAGTATTAGCAACGAAACAACATTATTGTGACACTAAACAAAGCTACAAAGATTTGCTTTTAATTATCAGTTTCGTCCCTATCACATCTGACTCACATGCCCTTACAAAATGTGATATTTCCAAACCGGTCCTCCCACCCTACCAATAATCCAATATAAATAGATCTGACTTACAATCCAACAAGCCATCATCAACATCAACTCAAACAGCCCATCAAAACACATGGAGAAAAACATGGCAATGTCAACTTCATGCATATTCCTCATTCTCGCTGTGCTTATCTTTAGCGACGGGTTCCACGGAGCGGTCGCTAAAACCGAAACGCTCGATTTCAACAAGCACAGGGTCGACGGGAACTGCGGCGAGTATGTCGACTCTCGCCCCGAAATGAGAGTCGAGGCATTGAGATCCATAGATCTTGCGATCGACGTCGCGACCAAAGGCAAGAAACCCAACACATGCGCAATGGCGACGGGTTCTTCTATCTTCGCAGCTGCGAATTGCTCCAAGGAGCTCAGTAAACCTAAGAGGACTGACGATTGCAGGAATTGCCTCTTCAATGCGCAGTTCCGTGCGGTCGACAAGGAGTGCCCGCAGAAATTCGGGGGCTGGATCAAGCTCGTCGACTGTTACGTGAGGTACGACACCTACAAATTTTGCTGAGTGAAGCGCGCGAGCTAGCTCGATCGTGTGGGAAGATGTTGCAGTTTGGTCATATTGAAGAAAGGGAAAGCTACTTTTATATATATATGTAAGAAAACGATGATGTTTTATAAACCATCATGAAATAAGCTAATAAAGTTCCTTTTTCTTTCATGCATTTCAATGAAGACTGATCATGGAGGTTCTTAAATCGATCTCCTCTTTGTTACTTTCAGAACTAAATCCATAGAAGAAGGAATTGACTGCTTTTGTATCCACTTAACATCCAAAAAAATAAGGGGAAATATGAGTTTACCAGGAAATACCAAAGACATAACTGGAATTATAAATAAATAAAAACCAACGTGTACGTGATTTATTTCAGCATAACTTTCCTCTCCCAGTTATTTCAATTATCACAAAACGAGTTCATTCAATTAATTACTGGGTCTTTCTCTAAAAAAAAAATTTTAATTACTGGGTCTCAAACTATATCACATTCGAATACTACATCCTTTTGTAAAAAAAAAAAAAAAGCGTTATCACTAATCAACTATACGGACTGATGTACAAATCAAGAGTACTATTTTTCACACATCTAAGATTTCTCTCGTCGATTGTAATGGTATTTGTACGTGAACCAACTGGTTCCAATAGTTTGAGCTGTTGAGAGAGGTTTATGTACATATGGTCTTTAACCACTTCTTTGCATGCTCCATCGCCCGAAGGCTAGCTCACGGGTTTCAAGTTTGTACACGTCCAGTCATACCATGTGCATTAAGACAACAATTAATATTGAGAATCGTGAGAACTTTGAACACGTGATCTCACGGACAAAGTTCATTCGGACAACCACCTGCACATCAGCACATAGGTCCTCAACTACTTTCTTACAAGGTTGACACCACTAAGTTTTGTGCCCATAGGCCATAATGCTAAGTTGGCAGTCACGATTTAAGTAACAATTATAATAGTATTTCATACTATGGTTACGGAAAGTTAACATGTATTACGCTAAATGTTACATAAGGAACATTATAATTTACCTAATGTGACCTTCAAAACTTATTATAACAAAATGAAAAGGGTTAAGTTCGAATAAATTAAAAGTGTGCCCGGGATTCCCTCATTTATGGGTCCAATATCATGAAATATGAGTCGTCGATCGATTCAACGTAGTTGCCTCATAATTTTCTCATCTCGCAAAACAACCCGCATTGTTTCACAACGCGCGCCCCCCTATTAATTATCATTCATGCAAAACCAGGAAATTCAAGAGCCCATAATCTATACGTTATGACTATTATTGGGATGCAACCTCGTTAAATTAAATTATCACGTCAACTTTGGGTCAACCAATTGCAAATTTAACGGATTGACTATTATTTTGTTCTTTGAAAAGCTCGATTATTATTTTAATTAGAACCAAAGGTTTACCTAATGTATTGTCTCTTTTTTTTTTTTTTTTTACAAGAACAAAGAAATGCCGCTGCATATACTCTGTTACTTGCAAAACAAAACTAAACATTACGACTTCACTATGCCAACTTTTTAAAACTAATCACTAAGCTAGAAACAAACCGATTATTTATTCCCCGAGGCTTCACAAAGCTGGGGAAAAAGAAAACAAATCAAAGCATTCCCATGCATAATCATCCGTATAAATACAGAATTAGTTGAATCCAATAACACATCATTCAATCAATCCCCGTCATTTAAGATACTGAAGCAGCAATTAACAACAAAGATCAACATCCTAATGACGACGACTCCATCACCCGTCGTCCTCATCGCGACGCTGCTGCTGCTCATCTTTAGCGACGGAATTTCCGTCGTCGTCATCGTCAACAGCGCTTACAACACAAACAGGATCGCCGGCGGCTGCGACGGGCTGCTTAACTACTTGAGCAACAACGAAGCCGTGCGAAACCTAGCACTGAAGTCCATGGACGCCGCAATCGATTTTGCGGCCAGCAAGAGACCCAATACCTGCGCACATGCTGAAAATCGCGGTATTTGGATCGCCGCCGCCGCTAATTGCTCCCATCGGATAACTAACGACGACGACTGCAAACTCTGTCTCTACAACGCGCAGTACCGGGTCGTCGACCAGTGCCCGTATATGAAGGGAGGTTGGCTCGAACTTGCTGATTGTTGCGTCAGTTATAGCACCAATCCGTCATTTTGTTAAACCAATTGAGGGTTTTAATTTGCTGGTTGTGATGATGATCAGCGTCGATTGTTTTGTGATGTATCGCAAAAAATTCAGTGGCGGACCCATGAATTTTTCCTCGACCGAATATGGATATTATTTGTGGTATAAGAAGTTTTCACATGGTGTTAATTGGTAGTACCTATGGTTTGAAATTTGAAGCAAATAGTATCAAGCATGGATATTATTTGTGGAATGATCACAAATGAAACATTTTTTCTATGCAAAGTTTATAAAATCAAAGCCAAAATATACATTGTCATGTTGGAGATGATTAACAAGGTACGTAGATCGGTGGTCTATCGAGCCAAACCATCCTCTAATTCCATCTAGTCTCGGCATGTATCATCGCGCGTGTGAGCCGCTTCATTAGCTTCTTGTTAGTATGTTGAGCTGCCACCGTTCGTCTCAGGTGCTTGTAAGTACTATAGTTGCAATGCTTCTACATAAAATCTCAGTCTCATCATGCACCACCAAACTCCGTCGCCAAGGCTTCAGCTATACTTGTAACTCCCATGATCCTGGAACTTTCTTGGCAGCAGCCGGCCGCCAGCGGAAACTTTCCATTTGAGTCCCTTATTAATTACCACCCTGAGGCCGTCGATCTGTTCCACAAATACCAACATCGGTACAGACTGACACACTAACCGAGTTCCGGTCTATTCAAATTGTTTCCAGCTGACGAGATAAAGACTCGTTTCCACGTTCAGTTGCTAATGTTGCTTGTAGTCCGTCAGAAGATACTCAGCGCGAACTGGTATCTCGATCTTCTTCGAACAGTTTAGCTCTATTAAACAAATGAGCGTTACTTTCTTTCCAGAGATATCATAGCATACACACCAAGCTTCAATTTCCTCCTTCCATTGACTCCAAAACCGTCGTGATCCATGAGAGAAACGAGTCGTCTTCTTTCAAGGCAAAAAAAAAAAAAAAAACAACAACAACAACAGCTACCTCGGAGTGACACCCATTCAAACGCAACAAAAGTGTGGACTTGAGTTTCGCGCAAGTCACAAAACGGGCATTGATCATCGTGTCTTTCAACTTTAAAAAATTGTACACATATGCAAAACTATCAAAATAAGACCCCTTTTGTCACAAAAAGAACTCCACCTCGAAATGATAATTAAAATTAAGCAAATAGGGAATTGCCGCTGAATGTACTCTGTTACTAGCAAAACCAAACTAAACAAGACAAACAATAGACTGCAAAAAGGTTCAAACAGTGTAAGAGTTTTACAACTCCAGCAGCTGAAAGAATATATAAAAGTGTTGAAATAATTGGCCGGAGGGGGGCGGCTTGGCTGTTCATTAAAGCCGCCTCCACAAAAAACGTGGGTACAGGAATCTGCATAGTAACTTTTCCATTTCTATAAATAGCTGAGATTTCTGATTTCAGAAATCATTCAGAGAAACATTAGTAGGAAGAGAGAATATTTCTCTATGTGTATACTCTGTTGAAAGATAATAAAGAGAGAGTGTTTTATATCTATTTTATATCTACTTCGTCTACTGTATCTCATATTGTCTTATTTCATAGTCTATACGCCTATCTACCAAAATTCACAACACGTTATCAGCACGAGCGCTCTACCTACTCAAGGTCCTGCAAGTCAAAAATTGTTTTTGAGGTAGATATTTTTCATCATCAGGTACGCATACCCTCTTTTCTATAAAAAGCTCAAACAAACAGAGCCTTAAATATTTTGCCATTATGCACAGTATTTGCACAGTTTTTTTAACGTAATGTTGCAGGGTCGCTTTCATCAAATAGTAAAATTACTATGCATATACTATTTGTGGAGCCCATGACATTATTATTATTGTTTTTATATGATATTATATTGAATGATGGGCACCGCTATGCCACTGACTTTCTAACACACTAATCGTATTATTATTACTCTTACAATTATTGTTATATGCTATGTTACAGTGATAGCAAATTAAAAGAAATCAGAGTAAATTCCTGAAATTGATAGGTTCCAGAATGATAAAAGCTAAAGTGAATAGCTAAGGTCAAATGACCTATGGATAAATGGGTTATCTGAATTATGAGAAATCCTCTGGACGTAATTCCATTCCCGGAAGTGAATGTGAAAAAGGACAAGGTTAAAATACCTAAACCTAAATTGGTTTGTCCTAATGATGAGAAATTCCAACGGTAATAAATTTTCACCTGCATTGAAAAATGGGATAGTAAAGAAATTTCCTATAAAGGACAAAGATGTTACCGTACAAGTAGTACGTGAAATGGATTTAAAAATGGACAAGAACAAGGATATTGGTCATATTCGGGATGAGATAGCATGCCTACCCATAAAAGGGTTGTCATTTTGCCAACCCATACAAGGGTTAGCATGCTGACCGATCTCGTCATATTTTGTACTTATTGTACATGATGTTCATGATGATGATTTTATATTCATTGTGGTGGAACTGTGGTCGGTACAATCCGCATATCTAATAAGTGAATTAAAGTATGGTTAGTTAACCACCTGTTACAAGGAATCAATTATGTGTGGTCGACTTTTACCAAGAATCACTTGAACAAAATGTTCAAACCGTATATGACGAAAAGTGATTCGCGACATGGCCAAGTTTGAACCCATGAGAAGAATCACTTTTCTGTACGGAAGAATCCAATAAAGTTATCTGGTTGGATTGGATTTGATCCCAAAATTTTCATATATATATACTATGGGAGTTTCACACGGCCATGCCAAAAATCCACACGCCCGTTTGGAAATGGTCTTTGGCCGTGTGAAGGCTCGGTAATTCCCATACGGCCAGAAGTGCAATTTCACACGGCCGTGTGAAAATCCTCGGCCAGCCAGTGTGGTTTTCTCGGCCACACACGGGCAAATGTATACTTCACACAGCCATGTGGCTTGCCCGTGTGCCGAGCCTAAAGCCTATAAAAATGACCCACACGGCCGCGTTGGCCAGGAAAAATCTGAATCACATTCGGTGATTTCATCACATTGGTACGCAATAAGTACCTCATATAGTCGATACAAAAGGGAAGTATTCAAACTTGAATTTATTGATAAACTTGATTTATAAATCAAGCAGGATACATTGTATGAGATCTATCGATCTCTTCATTTTTCATACTACCATATATGGAGCAAAGACTAGAAAATATCTAGTCATGCTTATGATCCTCGCGTTTGTGTATCGAAACGTAGCGTTCATGATTGCGATAGTGTATCTCTAGCAAAAAAAGTATTGCAATGAGAAAGAAAATCATAAAGATTCATGACACCCAAATCAAGATTAGAAAGGAAGAAATTTCTTCCGCAATTGCTTCACCCGAACTCGATAAGATCCCTGAAATGACTTATAACGAGAAGAGTTCCCAAGAAGGGAAGAAGAATGATGGAATTGAGAGATGATGGGTGATTTTCGGTTTTGAATGGAATGAATGAAGAGGAAGGAAGGTTGTGGTTTTTATAGCCATGAAAGAAGGATGTATGTTGGAAAAAATAATTGATGTTGTAGATTTTAGATAAAATTGTATTGATGTGGTAAGATTTTGATAAGATTGTGAAGATATGAAGAGATTGTGGTTTGAAATTTTGAAAAAGAAAATAGATAGTGTAGTGTATGTCGGCCGGCATAACACACAGAAAGTGCCAAAAAAGCAGATCGAATTTACCCGGTAATCATAGTTGATATTATGTTGTATGTTCTATCTAACAGTTCTCTTTCAGTGAAATAAAAAGAATAGGGTTCGAAATCTGGCGTCAATGGAGCTCGAACCTACGACGTTCCAGGTGAGGGCATAGAGCCGTACCACTTCAGCCGCGTCCCTTTTTGGTATCATTCTTAGATTATTTCATAATATATATTATTGTGATTTAGACAACGGATTAATTCTCGTGGTTAATTATTTTTCTTAAGAAAGAAGCAATCAAGCAAATGCAACAGTAAACTTGAAGTTTACATTACGTGATAAATTGATTGTTTGGCATGACCGGTTGGGCCATCCCGGATTAATTATGATGCAAAAGAAAATTAAGAATTTATGTGGACATTTGAAGGAATTCAACAAGATAGTTTTATCTTGTGCTGCTTGTTCTCAAAGAAAGTTGATCATGAGATCATCACCAGTGAAAGTAAGAATTTGAATATCATATACGATGAGCATATATAATGCCAAGTTGGTGAACCAATACACCATGTGGACCATTTAGGTATTTTATGAGTTTAATCGATGCATCGACTAAATGGTCACATGTATTCAGCTGCAACCTGAAGTTTGCAAGACTGATTGCTCAGTTGATTCGATTATGGGCACATTTTGATGAATGTCCAATCAAGAAAATATATCTTGACAAATACTGGTGGTTACTAGAATTAATACAAAATATCTTGTAGCACATGTGTGTGCACAAAATGATCTCGATGAATCACTCACTCTGACATGTCATCTTACATGCGGCAACACTGATTTTGCATCATGCCAACAAGATGTTACTAATAAACCCCTGTATAATTGGTTCTGGTCAGGACCTAAAATATCCCATCAGAGAATTTATAAAAGTGCAATATACGATGTAAGTTGATCCACCACAATTTACAAAGATGAGTTTTGCAAAGAAAAATTGGAAACTGAAGTTGCATGAGAAGTCTCTAATTGTTTTAGTGAGACTAGAATTTTTATATGATATTTATTGACGTTGTTATATGAACAAGTCAATGTTTCCAACATCAGGGGGAGAAAAAGAAAGGGTAAGCAGTTGATTTGCAAATTGGTTGAAATGAATTATGATCCTCCTACTTAGAATGTGAACATGAAGTTCAAAGATAATTCATTTGCCAAGATTGGTTAGCCTACTGCCAGGCATCGTTACTAACCCAAAAAGAAGTGACTCAGTCACGAGCAACTGCTAATGCTCTTAAGTCAATATCCTAGAGGGATATATTATACACATATGACGTGTGATAAAAATTATCGGTTCCAGAAATACAAATCCTCAAGTAAGAAGGGAGCTAAGAATAAAGATGGTCTTTATAATGAGGATATTGTAATTCTATTCTCCAAGAATTATTGGTTTGGTATAACCACAGGTACCTGTTTGGGAAAATGAAAGAGCTCTCAATAAATTATATCTTGGATGAAATTTGATGGAATCAAAAGGAAGTCAACGTTGACAATGAATTTTGTATATATTGTAGCGCGCAATATGATGAACGAAAAATGAGGATCGAAAAGAAT